CACTGGCCTTGAGCCTTGCGCGCGTGTTTAGTGTATTCAGTGGGTCATCGCTCTTTAGATACACTGCAGGTTAAGTGTTCTTCCCATTCTTGATTGATAATTACTTCAGGAGTCCTCGCTTCGTTTTTCTCGTGGTTTAGCATTTTCTTACTAGTGATGTAGTATGAGAGAACAACAACGGAATACATACAGTGTTTAAGAGATTCTTGTGCATTGTGACACAGTTACCGTGTGTCCTTATGATAGAACTTCAATGTTGTGATGGTATATGATGAGGGTGGAGCGGCACGTCCTTCCTATTGTATGGATATTGAAGGAATGCAGTAATTTCCACTTATCCGGTTCGAAGGACTAAACTGGTTAGAATTAGACTAAGTCCACCAGTTTACTGGTGGAAGAAAGTGTAGATAAATGGAAGGTGTTACGAATTACAGCAGTTTTTAGGAATACAAAGTGGGAGAGGTATGAGCGCGCGAACATTTGTTTTGTAAACATTGGCCAACGAACTCAAAGAATGAACGAACTCAATATTATTAACTATTCACTATTTATTATATTTAATAAAAGGAAAGACTATAACCATTAAAGGCAGTATTGAATAATTGCATTGCCCCTTCCACTTGCCAGCAAGCCTCCACCCACCATCATGAGGAGGTTTTTAGTCTGATCCCAGGCAGAAGGGAAGCGCGTTAATCTGCTTTTCATGCTGTTTATTGTTAATAAATAATTAATGATCATGAAGTATATGAATAATGGTATGATTTAATTAAATACGTGAAGTTTCTTCTATATTGATACGTGTTGATGAGTGTATATCCTTTTCGTTGTATAATGAGTAGATGCTATCTTATAAAACATTAAACTGCTGATGTTTGTATTATACGTTGGTGCCGCGGTTGTGTATGCGTCGGTCTTATCTGTGAGTTGCTTCGGTAGTTGTATGCTTGGTGCCGCGCTTGTGTATGCGTCGGTCTTATCCGTGAGCATTTATGTTTTCACTGTTGTTTTATCTTAGTACTAATGTGTTATTAATTTAAGTTTAGTTTAATGAATTTTAGAATATAGTGTCACTATTTCTTTCTTAGATTATTTACTTGATTGATTATTACGTATGTATAGTGCTACAATGAGTGATAACTGTAGAGAATGCTTGAAGATGTATAGTGCGTTTGTTATAATGACTATGTAATTGTTACTAGACTGAGGCAAACTGAATTGCTGCGTGTGAAGCGCAGTCCTTAAATATTATCGCACTATTCCGTAAACGCCAGTGTTTGTTGCCATGACGATATTGGTTGTCACATCAACAGGGCATAGCCTGGAACGTTCGTTGCTGTTGTTTTACTTAAATAACTGAATTGCGCGTTCATATCTCTCCTACTTTCGCCTTTCAACTTTTTAATCCGTAACAAATATAAAGCAAGAATTTTTATAATCGAATTGAATACGGTGGAAAAATAATTAAGGATGATAAGCCTGCAATAATTTAATGAACGTTTATATTCTTATGTTACATATAGATAGAAAGTTAAATTTAACTTTAAAGCAATAATAAATACTAACTTATAAAGTTATCCCTACTTAACTAAAAATTTTGTATCGTTACGTATCTTTCACACAATCCTATTTGTTAATATAAATTAATTTTGTTGGTATATCCTTTTTTTAATTAGAAATATTAATATAGCTAAGTATATTTAATATATTTCAGATTGTGCAAGTAGGTATTTAAATTTCTCAATCAATAAGTAAATAAAGAATAAATTGAGTTGTTTTTAATAAAATTATTTTAATTATATCCAGTAAAAGTAAATATACACTTACGTCATTTATTTATTTAATTGAAATACATTTATACATTTATATGCATGATAAAGGTAAGATTATATATTCTTGTAAAGTTTTCAATTTTATTATATATTCGTATAGGATAATAATAATATACTATCATTAATGATACTATCATTACTTTATGAAAAAATACATGTTCTTTAAAAACATGCAATCTTATATTTTAAATTTATAAAAATAAAAATTAACAAGTTAGATTTAAAAAATGTAAAAATACTAACTATAATTTTAGAAACGCGCTTCCGTATAAAAACATAATTTGTATCGATGCTATATCATTTTATAAATATTTTTAATTTGTTTACATATTATCAATATCAAACTTAAAATAATATATTATATATAATATATAATAATAAATTAAATCATAATATTGTAATTTTTTATTTTTTACTAGTTTCATTTATGTATTTTTTACATTATAAATGAAGCAAATATACCATTTTTTTTAAATACAATTTTTAATATCTTTAAATATTTAAATGTTTCAATAAATCTTTTTAAAGGATATTTGAAAATTTTAAATACTATATAGTAAAAAATCATATATATGTATCATATATATGATAAAATATATGATAAAATCATATAAGTAATCATATATATCAAAAATCGATATTCTATTTAATGGAATATTACATTTAATGCATATTTTTATCTATTTATTAATTCTTTATTAATGCAATCGAAACATGATCGAAGTATCTTCTTTACGGACACCTACGGGACATTGTAATGATGAATGCAAAGAACTTTTCAGTATTTATTACGGCTTTTTGAAAATTGTTATCAGATTCAAGGGAAATAGATAAAAAAAAAGTTACTCTATACTTTTCAATGTAATTTAATAGAATTAATAAACTAAATCTTCAAAACAATCCCCATTCAATATATCGACTAGAATAATAAAAATTGGAATAGGCATCTACATGAACAAATATTTACATATAGCATGGCATAATTATAAATTGATATACCACGAAGATTTGCAGGTATTCTTAACTAAATACCACTAATAAATAACTATAGAATGTAAAAAATCTTCTAAAAAATGGTAAAAAGGTATTTGATTTTTATCTCTTCTTTATCTTTCATGATTTCTGGATTTTAATTATGTTTATATTCTTTTATCTTGCTGCTAATGATAAAACTTTATAATATTCAATTGAAATAATACTCAAATATACGCAGAATTTTATTAAAATAAAAGTACTCTAAGACCATATTCGAATTCTATTGAATTCACAGGGCTACTATATTTGAAAATTTTTGAAAATTTATGTAGCTTATTCAGTAAATTACTGTGATTTTCAAATATTTTATCCTTTTAGAATTTTAATATTTTATATTTTAAAATATTTTATATAAGTCATAAATCAAACAGATTAATGCTACTTTAGATTCATACAATGGTGCCTCGATAATCTAGTTCGAAAATCTCAATATTGATCTCAGAATTTCTTCAGAACGGATCCATATTAATTCATGAATTCAATAAATAATAATTTTATTATTGAAATTGACAAATTAGTAATACCTGTTGTTCTTAAGTACCTGATAATATTTTGCATATTAATGAACAAGAATTACCTCAAACATATCGATATACTCGTTGATTCTTCAATTACCGAAACATAAATGTGAACACATATTTTTTCTGTTTGTCATAATTGTAAATTATTTCAAACGTGAAGATGTAGTTTACAAATGTTAGAAACGTCTAGAATCGACACCGAAAAACATTATCACACGGATATCCAAATAATCCACATTCTTAATATAATTATACTGTTTTTAATGTAAAGCTCTTCATAATAATTTTAATTCTATGAATTGAAGCAATATAAGTACTACAATGTAATCATACTAAATATTGAATTTAGTATAGTATATCTATGAATAATAAACTGGTAATTTAATTTTATAATATCTATGTATTAAAAATAATTTTCTATTAAATACAAAAATGTTAAAATTTTTCTTAAAATATCAAATTGAAAATTCAGCAAATCAAAATTATTTCTTGTAGACAAAATTATCTATCCCTTCTACTCCATTAAAAAACGCATGCTCCCATCATCCCATCATTCACCTTATTTAAACTATATATTTTAATAAAACTTACATTTTTATAAGAAAATAAAAATTAATTGGAAATAAATACATTAACTAAATCTGCCCTATATTGAGACAATATACAAATTAACATTGAGATAATATACGAATATAAAAAATTGATAATATTCAGAGAGGAATTCAATTATTCAATTCAATTGATTATCATATATCTTTCGGTATCGGTCAATATAATCAACATGTCAGAACTAAACAGTTGCAAATCATTACAATTTTATAAAAAAAAGCAAGAAACATTATTGAAAAAGAATGATATCAATTATAAAGAACTCTCGTGTTCCTTTTACAATAAAGCAGATAAAATCAATCGATGGATTTACATTATGAACAATAGTGGTAATTTTATTTATATACAATTTTAAAATTCGTAAATAGTTGCATAAAAATAATTTTTTTAACAATGATAAATACATCTTTAATTAATCGATTACAATTTATTTTAACCGTTTCACTATTTAAATTATACCATAAAATTTTTTAAATGTTTGAATATTATCCTTGATAATTATTGTTTTCATCTAAACAGACAAATAAGAAATATAGTTCTACGAATTAATATTCCGTTGATTTATGAGTTTAGTAAATTTTATATATGAATTGATTGATTGATATAAATAAATAATATAGGTATACAAAAATGAATCAATTATTGGTATATCTTTGTCGAAATGTGATTAAATTATATAATTGTTTTACATATTTTTATTTTATACTATTGATATTAAATTTATTTTAATTATACTATTTTCATAAAGAATTAATATGAATTTACATATTTATTTTCACTTTTAATTATAAAATTAAGTAAAATTATAATTTTTAACAATTTTTCTTTCTAGAAAATATTAATGTAGCATTTTTGCAAATACTAGAAGAAATTGAAGAAAATATTTTGGAAAGGCTGGAAACGTTTCAAAAAAATATAAACAATACCATTGAAAGTAAATTTGGTAGTTTAATAAATCAAAATTCTATAAAAGTATATACTAGTACATATGTCAAAGAACTTAAAAAAAAGTTAGATATAATATTACCAATAAATAATTTAGAAACATTTAAATTATTTGATAATATTCTTGAGCAAGATGTATCAAAACAGAATGCATTGGTAAATATTTAATATATAAAAATTTTGTTTTATAAAATTAGAAAAATGAACAAATTTTCTTGACTTTAATTATGCAAATATATATGGATGTATTATATTTTAGAGAAATTATTTTTATTTTTTAATTGATGGAAATCAAGGTATAAATCATGATATTTATACAATCATGAGTACAGTAACAACAAAATCTGTACAAATATGTTATTCCGGTGTAGGTAAAGAAAAAAATGGACAAAAAAAAAAAAATTTTAGTAAAACAAATATTTTTTTTTGCATGCAAGGTACAAAAGTTTAATTTTATTTAATTTTATGTAGGTATTTATCAAAATTTTATTTGCAGATGTATTGATTGATAAATACAAACAGTCAGCAAGTACTTTAAAAATAACAACAAGAGTTAGTCGTTGGTTAAGTCAAGTTATTAAACGAAAAGATAAATCAAAAAAATCTAAACACAAGCCAACTAAAGAATTCTGTAGTTGAATAAATAAAAAACTTACGAATTTATTATAAATGAAATTATTTTTCTAAAAATTTAATTAAACAATAAATTTATTTGTAAAAATTAAATATTTCATTGTACAATTTATTAATAATTGACATAAAATTAAATTTTTATAAGTAGATATATGCACATTTTTATATATGTACAATTAATTACTTTAGATCACTGTAATATTAATGTTGAGTATAGAACTTTATTCTAAAAAATCATTTTTATTTTTCTACATTAAAGTATATTTACTAATTCAATTTCATTTTTTGCATTTATACAGATATTATTCAATTAAAATTTTGAAGTATATATATATTAATCAAAGGTAGATTCTTAAATAATTTTTTCTGTAGAATAATACTAATGTGTAATATACAAGTCTGAAAGTTAGGTCAATAAAGTTTTTAAAATCATGTACTTATAATTAATAATGAATAATAATTATTTATTATTTATATTTATATCATCTTAAAAATGAAATATTAATATATTTTTGTTTATAAATTAACTTTTTCATTTACTTGCCTTAAAAAAATAGTAAAAACCAAAATGTTATTCTATAAAAAAATAATCATCTAAATTAATAGATTTTCATAAAAAATTTTGCATTATGGCATTAAATTAAATAAAATACTAATAAAAAGTTAATCATAATAGAACTACAATGTAACATAAAATTGACAGAATACTTTACATTAATTGTATTAAAATACAATCGTAATAATTTTTAATAATCAAGTCTTTAAAAATAAAATAAAAATATTAAGATTATATATGCAATTACGCATGAATAATATACAATTATAAAAAACGAATTAATAAAAATATTTAAAAATAATTCGATAAACTTTGGTAATCTATTCCTTCATTAATATAAAATTAGAATATTTTGATAATTCTAAAATAATTTATTCAAACAGAATATAAAAACGAATCAAGTTTTATCTTGGCATTTGGAGGAGTTGTAAAAGGTGAGAACCATGCAATTGAAAATCGTCCAAAAACAGCTTGAATAGACTTCCATCGGCTATTTCGTACCCATCGAGCTTCTTCTTTTTTTAATTGTTCTATACCCTGATATTAGAATATAATAAATATAGAATTTTTATTTTTCATTAGAAATTAAATATAATTAATTACTGTTTCATCATTCCAAATAGCTTGAAGTTGTGTTCCTAACATTACTGCAGTAAAAATAGCAAATAATAAAGCTTCAAATGTCAAAAATAATAACAATACAACTGTAGCTGGTGGACTAAATGCTGTGCAGTCCCGCCATTCTTGTCTTACACAAGTAGTAAATTGTTGTATACATAAAAATAATGACTGTAATGATATACCAGCAATGTAAAACTGAAATAAAATAAATATATACATAATAAATTTTAAAAATAAATAATAAATTTTATCAAATTTGAATTTTACTCACAGTAAAAAGGACAAAATATTTTTGATTATTTTCCCCTACACAATTATTTACCCATGGACAATGGTGATCCATTTTTCTAATACATCTTTGACATACAGAACAATGATGTGCTCTATCTGGTTTAATAGAGCAACATTTTGGACATTTAAAGACTACTTGACCTTCTCTAAATCCCATTTGTTGTATCATTTCCTTTGTTGCATTTCCTTTTGGTACTGCACCCTTTTGATTTTATTTATGAAACAGACATAAAAAATTAAATAATAAATTAAATATTAATTTACTTACTGGATCTGTAAACATTGTTCTTAGATGTGAAATAAAAGCTAAAAAAGCTAATGTCTGAAATATGGCCATATTTAAACTGGAATAAATGGAATTTATTGTAGGAATCAAAATTACAGCCATAACAACAAATTCAGCATAAATTATTAAGAGCCATGTCAAAATAACACAGATAATTCCACATATATCCTTTAAAGATACAATTTCAAAATTAGAAAACTGTTAATATAAATATTTTTGTAGTATTCATACCTTAATACACCAAAATTTTCCACTGCAACAACGATTATGAATATCCTTTTCCCTATGAAAAGATTTATATTCATAATCCATTATATACAAAAATACCTGATTTTCAAAATTAATGATAGAAATATAACAAATCCTGAATTTTATCATTGAAAAAAAAGTTTAATCTTTTTTTTGAAAAGTAATAATTAAAAATATAGATATTCATTAAAAAAACTTAAATAATACAAAATACTAATCTTTCATTCATGCATAATTTTTCTGTTATAATATTATCATCTTAAAAATAAAGGGTTGTTTTTATTTATAACCTCTAATAAAAACTTATATGTATTCACTGTACATAATTTGAAACTTCAAAATCTGAAAACACTTCATTATCGAAATAGGTAATGGCAATCAACAATTCTTTATATTTCCATTTTATGATGAAATCTTTTTTAAGAATCAACAATTGGCATAGAAAATATATAGGTAACAAAAATTATTAATAAACCACTCATTGTAATTCTCATAAACATTTTAATTTATACGTAATAGCATACACTATATTCTGAAAATCAAAATATATTTCAAACCTGGAATTTTTTTTACTTTCTATTCTTTGATACTATAAATACATTTTATTATTTATATGAAATATTGAAGATTAAATATTAACGTTACATAAATGCAAATAGATTTATTTTTTTGTATATATTATTTTATTGTATATAGGTTTGTTATCTTACTATCAATATTTTATAATTTCACATCATTTACTCTTGCCAGTAAAAGTTTTAATTCAGTTTAATGTAAAATGAATATATGAAAAAATAACTATGAAAATGTCTTTTTAATTGATTCATCTCATTTCAAAGTTTTAAAGATATAATTTCATTACGATATATTTCATAAATATAAATTAATAATCCTTAAAAAATATAATAATCTTTTATAATGATAAAAGAATTGAAAAACTCCAAATTTGTAGGTTAATAGCAGTAATTCTATTTTGAATCCAAAAAACGAGGGTTAATTCGAAAATTTATAAATAATTTGTTTTTTTTCCACCAAAATTTTTAACGAAGGAGCATTAATTTTACAATAATTATATTTATTTATAACAATATTTTCAAAATATTTATTTTCATTGGAAAATAAAATTGTAAAGCTATGATATTTGAAAATAATTTAAATTTATTTATATAATAATTCGAAAAAAAATTACTGCATTTTTTATTGTTTAAATAATTTTTATTAGAATTATTGTTGTCAATGATGGATTATTAATAAAAAATGAAAACATAATAGAATAGAATTTAAAAAAATAAACGCTCTTAAAATATTAATAAAAAAAGATATTAATCATTAAATGTTAATTACCAGAATAATTTGTTGAAAACTTATTATTTGTACAATGGTAAAATAAAAATATTAATATTAATCTAATAAAATATATATAATAATGATAGTGTTTACAAAAAAATACAAAAATTATAACTAATTTATAACTAATTAATTATCTTTATCATTTAAGACAAATAGGAATAGAGATTAGTTACTATATTATTTTCATATTTCAGCAATATGAATATTGTTTGCAAAAGTAGAGCATATACAATTTTTCTAATTTATATTTTAATGAGATTACAACATTAAAGTAAGATGATTAAGAGAAGGATATTGATATTTAATATACTTTAGTGTTTAATATTATATATTTTTAATTAGTAATAAATAATACCAAGGATTAGTCTACAATGTCTTTGCGGTTTCATTTTACATATATGAATTCTATAATTAGAATATTTCATGCTACCGCTTTAAAATTTTGGGCTTTCTCTGCAGTTTATTTATTATTATGTCTTATTTTCTATTGGTTATATGGTAGTGCAATTGCATTTTTTCTACTTTGTTCTGCTATTATTGGTAAGTGACTTCTTTTAATGTGTCTAATATATAAATATTTATCTTATCTTTAATTATTTATCTTAACTTTCATAGGTGTATTATATAATGTAGAAGATAAACTATTATATTATCCAAGATTACCTGCTAATGCTCGAATTTATGTACCATCTCCGGCTTTGCATAATTTACCTTATCAAAGCATTTATGCAAAATCTAGTGATGGAACTTTGATTCATATGTTTTTCATTCCACAACCAGAAGATTTAATAAAAACTGCTCCAACTGTACTATTTCTTCATGGTAATGCTGGAAATATGGGACATAGGTAAAACATATATGTTCATCGAAATTATTAGTTATAAAATCTTTACAATATATATTTTCTTTATTATTCATTAAAAATATTTATTTGGCAGATTAGATAATGTTAAATTACTTTATAAAAATGTTCATTGTAATGTACTTTTATTAGAATACAGAGGTTATGGGTTGTCACAAGGATCTCCATCAGAAAAAGGTTTTTATATGGACGCACGAACTGGAATAGAATATCTTTATTCACGCAATGACATTAATACAAATGAAATTATTATTTTTGGGCGATCATTAGGTAATTTAAATCAAGTTACTAATTAACATTTGAATTATATATAAATATATGTTATTTAAAAATGCATGGTAGAATAAAAATTTATTGCTATTGGAAAATAATAGGATTTTTATTATATAAACATAAGTTGATACTTGTATAATATGGATATTAATTGTAAATAGTTATAACAATGTAAATTAAAATTGATATTTTGGTAAACTAGCCAAAGTTTTTTAAGAAATGTATTATTTATTAGCACAACTTTTTAATTTTTATAAAACTAAGTCATTAACATAATATACAGAAATCATGTTGACATAATCAAAATATAAATATTTCTTAAAGGTCTAAATAGTTGTATTTTTCGATATTTCGCCTAACACAATGGTAATACACATTTTATGAAAGTATTTATTCTCATTTAGGTGGAGCTGTTGCTATAGATATAGCAACAAGACAAGAGATTTCACAACGAATCTGGTGCCTCATTGTAGAAAATACTTTTACTAGTATACCAGACATGGCAATGAACTTAATTAAGTCAAAAATTATTCAATATATTCCAATATTTTGTTATAAAAATAAGGTAGTCCTTTTAATTATAACAAATCATATTATACAGTTATAAAAATGTTGATAAACACATATTTCAGTACTTGTCAATATATAAAATACATTCAATTTCTGTGCCCACGCTTTTTATTTCTGGAAGACAAGACAAATTAGTTCCACCTAAAATGATGGATGAACTTTTTGAAGCTTGTGGTAGTAATTTTAAAAGAAAAATTCAGATACTTGATGGTACTCATAATGAAACTTGGAATAAATCTGGATACTACCAACAAATATTTATATTTCTTGAAGAGATTAGAAAAAAACCACCTATACAAATGACATCAAAACAATGGAATATTGATGAAGTTTAAGTTAGATTTAATAGAAAAAATAATATGAAAAGTAATAAATATTTCATATTCTGCTAAAAAAATGAATGATAGTTTTTTAAATTTATTATTCATAAATTTATATATAAATGCATATAGAAATTCAATTCTTTTCTACATTCTATTAATGCTTGTTCAAATCAATATATATTAATATAAAATTTTATTTAAAGATATTTGCATATGTTATAATATATTTATAACAGTTAGAACTGAATACTAATTCTTAATAAAATTAATATATGATATATAATAAAAACTTTGTATAAAAGAGAAAGGTTTAGTTAGTAAATTTATTAGTAAGTTTAAATTAGTACACATTTTATAAATAGGTAAGATTATTAATACATATAACTGTTGTGATTTAATTAACAAATTTATTTCATAAATTACTATTAATAATTTTAACACTTTACTTTTTATTTTCAATTAAATAAAATTAGTAATATTAGTTTTTCATTTTTAAGCTTGCTAGTAAAAATTTTTTAAATTTCAGTACCATTTTTATATTTTAAAAATCAATTTTAAATAAGAACAGTCGGAGTGTAAAGATCAATGAAAATTGTTTGTTTTTCATGTATCTGTAATTTTTATAAATAATCTCTATTAAATAATAGTAATTTCATTTATAAACTCATTGTTACCATTATTTATACTATTATTGAATTAATATAAAAGTGAATTATGAAAATATTTATACCAAATAAGTTTAAAATATTCATTAAATAATTATAAAAATATGTATTAAAATAAAATATAATTAATTACAACTTTTATATCTGACATGTATACACTATTAATTACTATTATCTTAAATATAAAAAATAAATAATAATAAATAAAATAAATATTTTATTTACATATCTTTTTTTATTATGAAATATCTTCTAATAAAAAAGAAATTTTAATAATTGAAATATAATTTATTATGCATACAGTGACAGTTAATTCAATTTTACAAATTAGATTTATTTATTATTTGATGTTAAAAATAACATTAAAATATTATTGTACTTCAAGACTTTTTAAAGAAATACTTTAGGGTTGTTTGTTTTTTTGCTTTTACTTCTACAGATTTTGACTTATGAAATTCTTCTTTTTTATTTTTAATATATTTATCATTATCATTTGAATCTTCATAAATATGGACTCTTTTTGTAATAAGATAACCATCTTCATCTTTAAAAGTTTTATCAATTATCTTTTTTGTTATATGTTTGTTATCTTGTAGTATTTTGGATTGAATTATTGGAGATTTATTTCTAACTTTAAGTACTTGTTCTACTTGTTCATTTTCTTCTTTATCATCATTGTTACTAAATTCATCTTCGCTAGAATCTATAATAATTCTCTTTCGTTTTGGTGGTTCATTTTTTTTAATACAATTTTTAGAATTAAACTGATCATTTACAAATTTATTTTTTGAAGTATTGCTTATATTCTTTTCAAACTGTAGATTTATATTGTCTTTTTCTTTTTGAATTACATTGTCATTTTTTACATATAATTTTAAATCCGCTTTTTTAGATACATGTAATTCCATACTAAAGGCGTGTTCAGAATTTTTCCATTCATTATTGCTAGAATCTTGTACTATATTTGATATTTGTGATTTATTTTCTGAAAAAGCATTGGATCCCGGTTTGCTCAACTGAATTGGTATTTTCGTCTTTTTATAATATTCCAATGACGTTAAATTATTAATTAAATCACCATTCATTTCTTCAAATATTTCTTTTTTGATAGTTTCATTTTTTATTACATTTTTAAATGAAGAATACGATGAGTTAAATTCATTTGACACATGTTTTTTGTTTCTACTAATTCCAGTATGATAGAAACTATGAATTTCATTATTTTTTAAAATGTTAGAATTATATTTAATGGCACTGTAATGAAAATCGCCTTCATCTGTTAAAGTTAATAATTCTATATCATTCAAAGACTTTTGTAAGCTATATAAATGTTCACAGTCAACATATATAAATTTTTGTTTTGTATTATTTAAATTTGAATCCTTAACTATTGCTACATGAATTGACCTATCATGCAATGGCCCTACTAATAAAAAAGTAGCAATAATATTTTTATCATTTCTATATTTTTCCCAGTATTGTTTTAAGATATTTTTTGCTATATTAACATGTATTTTTAATTCTTTACTTAACCATTTATAAGTTACCTGAAATAAATAATATTTATCTGTTTGATAGACTATCAAAATAATCTTATTAATATATAAATTTATAAATCTAATATTTAAGGAATAAATATTTTAATTGGATAACATTTTTATACCAATTTATTATCATCTTGGATATAAGATTTTAAAGTATTTTCATAATTGATTAAAGACATTTTTATAATGAACAATTAGAATTCAATTTATTAAATAAAAATACTTTTAGCTAGAGAGTTACACATAACCTATAATTGTCTAGAAAAAGGGAATAAAAACTAATTTGAAAAAAGTTCGCAAACTTACTGCCAAAGCAGTGACATCTATAGGAAAATCAATTAAAAATAACACAGGTCATAAAATAAAATGACTTCTTTGTAACAAATGGCATTTTAATTTGTATCCTCGTAAAACATTTACAATTTACAATATACAACACATGTATACACGTATGTATGCACGAGCATAGTTGGTTTTATAAATTAAAAAATTTATAAATGTGATTTAATTTTACTTTGAACATATTCATTTAATAATTTTCGTTTTTATTATATTATTTTTTAAACATCGAATTATTTGTCTGAATGTGAATTTTCTTTACAAATAATAAAATAATACACACAAATTAAAATAGTCAAAGTAATTTGGCATGGTAAACAAAAATCTGTTGTTAACTTAATAATTATAATCTGGTATTTCTATATAAATTTAATTTCTTTATCTTATCGATGATTTATAAAGCTTTAATTTTAGTATAAACGATGTAGTAACACTGCATTAATCAATGCAGTATAACAAATTATTTTGTATTAACTACATTTTTATTTACATATCACTACTCATATTATATAATAGTATTATTGATAAAAAGTATAAAACTTTGATTTTCGATTTGCATTGTAGTATAACTAGCTTTAAAATATTCAAAGCCCTAGGTTTTTATTTTTGTAAAATAATTTGCTAAATAAAAAATGTAATACAAAACATAAAAAATATTTTCTTAACATTTTATCAGTACAGAATAACAACAACTTTCTAAAGAGCTTAATTTGGTACATCTCTAATTACATGTTTGCTTAATAAAATTAATTAAACAGAGAAAAAAATTTGAAGAACAAATAAAATGAAATTCAATACTGAATATAAGAAATGGGAACGAAATGTACTCATGTGCACAGAATATTACTAATGATCCAATAAAGATAACGATAAACAAAACATCTTACTCTTATGTTTCATTTAATATAACGAAACAATTTTTTAATGCAATTATTAAATGGCAAAAATTTAAACAACATTCTATTTATAAAACATACGACAAATCTTAGGATAAGTTTGAAACTATAAGTAAATATACTAGTACACAAATAGTGCACAGAAATAAATCGTTTTCTTAAATTAAAACTGACGAACGCATTAACATATTACTATTATGTCAGTCTCGGTGATGGCTAAAGCCAGGTAGGCCTATGATGAGGTGAGGGTTGTAGTGCATATAACGAATGTAAATATTGTTGATATGCTGTGGATTCTACATCTAAATTAGCTGTATGAGATGTAACATAAGGAGAAACTGGCGGTCTGTACACTGTTGGTCTCTGTGTCGAATGAAGGAATGAATGTCCTGAATAACATCTTCCTGTCGACTGATCGCATAACTTGTTGCAGGCTTGTTGCACTACATTAGATAGTGGACCAACTTGCTGTCGGATTTGTTGATGTTGAGCCTGTTGTTGTACTTGCTGATGTTGCTGTTGTTGACGTAGAGCCATACTGTAATAACTTGACAGATTAGGATTATGAAAATCATCAAGAAAAACATATGCAGCAGCTGTTGCAGAAGCTGAAGCTTCTTTGTCAAAGAAAACTGAACTATTGATTGCATTAGTCGAAGTGGTACAATTAAATGCACTATCGTCTAAAGGTGATTGTTTGCGAACTATGGAATCGCTGTTAGCACTACCATACTGCGAAAACTTCGAAATATTATTGGGCTGGTGTTCTACGCCTACGCTCAGATGTTGTGAATATTGTTGATGTTGCTTATTTTTTCTATTCTTTCTTGACTTAGTCATTGAGGGAACTTGTTCTGAAACTCGCCGTGTCACCGATAATATATTCGGCTTTTTAGCTGCGGCATTCTGCAAAGTCTGTAATAAGTTGAGCTCAAGTTCAGACTGACTGGCCGTAGTGGATCTCCCGTACGTGGTGATAGAATTATTTTTAGTAGTAGTTCGAGGTATTAAGAACAGTTGTTGTGAATCTTTGGTAGTGTGTGCAACCAAGCCTAATTGTAATCGTGCAAAGGCTGGGTTTGAGGCAACTGAATCGACAAGATTATTAGTAAAAACGCCATCAAATTGATTGGGAATAATCGCGGAAACATCAGACTGCGAGTGTGCAAGGGTCATAACTGAATCAAAACTCAATTGCTCTTGACTGGGATATTGTGTTGTGTCAACAGTTGCCAAGGATTCATTATATATGCGTTTTTTAACAGGAGTAAAATTGTTGTCGTTACTAGCAGTATTCATTGTTGTGTTTTTAGTACTAGTGTCAAAATAATTCGAATACATTGGTCGACATACAATATTTGAGATCGAATACGGAGTCGCTTCAAACCCAGTCGAATATGGGGATTCTACATTTTGTTGAAAATCTAATAGTTGTACCTGCTCTTCCTGATTTTGTTGAACCTAAAATTTAATAAAAGTGTTTTCTGAATTATCTTTATTTTCAACCTTTTATCTATGTTGTCAGTTCATTTATAAATTAAACTATGGATATGAATTATACATTCATACTCTACCTTTTTTCTTTAATCCTTACTTATCTTTTTATTTAACCTTAATAAGTTAGACATTAATACATTTCTTTTATAAAAATTATTGAGTACAATAAAAAAATACAGTTAATTAATCAAAAATAATATAATTGAAAATATTAATACAAATTTTCGTCTTTAAAATTGATTTCTCAAATAATCATTTTTTTTATTATACTTACTATTAGATATTTTATAACAAACAAATTTGTACTTATATCAAAAGTTTTTCTATAATATAACATTATATTATATATTACAATATTAAAATAAAATTATGAAATTTGCATAATATATTTACTTTTATTTTATTTGTATTTATTTTATATTTTATTCAAACTGAAAAGATATTACAAACATCTATTAACGGAAGATAATACGTAAAAAATAAAAACTTTTATTTTAGAGCTTTAAATTTTATTTAAAAAAGTATTAATGATAGCGTTGCATTATTATATAACATATGTCAAACTAAAAATTATTAAATAAATATATAGAAATATCAACCCTCATAAGTGTAGTTTCACAATATTTATAAAATAGACATCTAAATGATTATAAAGATAAAAACATCAAATTAGTTTTCATAAAATTTTATAAAAATAATTATTTAAAATTTATCAAACTAGCAAATTATTAAAATTTATAAAATTACCTCTATAAATATCTAATAATTTTTTTAATTAATTGTAAGAGTATTATATAGAACAATTTTGTTAATTCAAAAACTTAAAAAATTTTATTAAAATTTATATTTGAAATTATTTTGTTATTGATAGTTTTTGTCGAAGTTCAATATTTTTATTTTATAAAATTTAAACCCTAAAAATTATTGATATGAAATTAAATTATAACTGACCTCTCTCTGTTGGATTAGTTGCTGTGTTTCATAATTCGTTAATTTAGATGTTTTAGACTTGATTGAAGATTCAGTAAACACCTGATCGTTTACCCTATTCCCTGTAGGAAACACATTACCCGGATAAGTGGTTAGATATTGCGAATTGGAGGTCGTTGGATAAATTTGATGATTAGGCGCAGTTAGATTTTTTGAATTTGCTAGTTGCTGTTGTGACTGCTTCTCTTTGGTAATAATAGGTTTTGTTACGATTGTAGAAAATGTAACAGATGATTGAAGATATGTAGATTTAACGGGTTGAGTAAAAAGTGTATTCTGTATGTAATCTTCAGAATTTTTTGTAAAATGAATTGTCTGATCCTGAACGTCTTGACTCAGTTTCTGATTGGATTGTAAAAAATTTGTGCTTGATTGTTGCACACTGTTTATTGGCGATTGCTGCGACATATGTTGGTTTAACGGACGAGAATACGTTCTCAGTTGCTGCGATGATAGTTGCGAATAGCTTGATGATGTTTTTGGAGCTGTCTGAGAATATGCAAGCGATTGTTGAGGTGATGTCTGACCTGAATAGGATGTCGGAGGTTGAGGTGACGGTTGAGAGTAAACCCGAGTCTGTGGTGAAGATTGCGCCATAACTGCGTAACGTATAATATTAAGCTAAATTTATTATATATATTATACTATTATTATAATCTAAAGTTTAAAATATTTTTTTCTTTTAATATTGCATAAATTAATGAAGATCAAAGCAGCCATTTTAACAAACTTAGTTTTATGTATTTGATACTGTAATATAAAATAATGTTTACTGTATTTAATGTTTTTATGTGTACTATGTAAATACAAATTGTATATGTATTAAATGGGTATATATTTATATTAAGTTCGATAGTCATGAATTTTTATTTCATAAAATTAAATGAGAATGGAACAAATTTGAAATCTATTCTTGTAGAGTATTAAAATGACAGCAAATTTTACGACTGCATGACTATATAATAACAGATAAAAATAAGATTCTCTGTTGTTATAATGATGTATAATAATTATAATAATATTCTGATATTAATACTTCGATTAGAGAGAGAGAGAGAGAGAGAAAGATCGACTAAATAAAGAATTTGTCGACGAAATACAATATTAAATATATACAAAGGCGTTTGAAGATATTAAAGAATCTTAATAAAAGTATGCAATTGTAATCCTATTGCATTGTCAAATGATACTTAAGGTCGGTGTTCGGGATTGAAGCAATTCCATGAATTTCAAACAAAAGAAAGGTCATATACGCAGTCCGGCGTACCGCATGTGCGCCTAGACTGACCGCGCGTGCAGCAAGGCTGACCATCACGTGCGCCTAGGCTGATCCGCACGTGCGGACCGAGGCGGATACTCGAGCAAAATGATTACAAACAAAACTCGGCAAGTCCGAGCAAGTTTACGATTTGAAATATAATTTACTGCCAGCACTCACAAAAAAGGGACGCCTTCGAAACTTCTAGAAGCCTTTATATTAATAAATAAACAAGTCACATCTCTCGCTATTGTCGATCGGGCACACTTACGCTCTCTCGAACTGATCCCTCGACATCGTACAGACCCGCTAGCAGAACCAGGGTACACTTACGCTCTCTCGAACTAACCACTCGACGTCGTACAGGCCCGCTAGCACAAACAGGGCACACTAGCACTCTTCTGAAGAACACTTCGGAACCGTACATGCCCTGAACAGCTGACTCAAGAGTCACTGTGGTTCACACACATTGGTTACACAAGACCAACACAGATCGACTAATAGACTCTACAAATACAGATTATTAAATCCTTCACGAATTAGAAATCTTACCTTTAATTGTTTTTACCTCTGACTAGATTCTACTGCTGTCCCTTTATATAATTAAAAGATATAATTGATTACATAATAAATTCCATTTAAGATCTGACACCATATCAAGTATAGCTATTCATCAATAGATCTGACACCACATCAAGTATAGCTATTCATCAATCAAGCATACTAGATTCAACTACCATCTTCTCATGCTGCCTCACAAGCATGATTGACTGACGACATCAGCTGACATTGGTAACATCAGTATAACCTCAAAGCAACACAGCAATATCCATAGAAGCCTTCATAGCATAAGAATTACAAGAACACATCATTTGAATAATCCAACAGAATTATTTATTTCTACACAACAGTGCAATATTATAATAATTGTTTACAATCATCAACCTTGTTTTTAAATAAATATATTATATTTTTCAGCCTTGTCTGTTATTGATTTCCTTTAAAATTATCCTGCCGAGAGACTAATCCACTGAACTATTGAATTGGTAGTTCGAGCCATAAGCTAACCCTTTAAATCCGAACAGTCGGTCAATATAGATATTTCTTTGATTTAACTGAGATAAATATTCAACTTACTACTAATACGTTAACTTATTAGAGACTATTGTTTTGATTATTTTCAAAAATTTGTATTTGTTAGAAAAATATAAATGTGTTATATATAATTCAAATTTTAAATTTGTTTTCAGGATAAGATGATAAACATGTCAACCCACGATGAAATATATTACTTAAAGTCCAAGAAGAGAATATGAAAAATAATGCACCATGTGAATAAATTACATTTCTATTAATAAATATCACAACAGATGACCTTGCTATAACATTAATAGGTAAATAGAAATGAATAATGGACAAGTGACTCAATATAAAGCCTTTGGTAATTTTTACTATTTCATTATGAAATTTTATAAACTTAAACATAGTTTTCTTAAAAAACACTTATTTTATATGAAAAATATAAAATATATATATATATATATAGAACCTTTTCACATATTATTTATTTTTTATTTTAAAACATTTCAAACATAGTTCAAACAATCTTTTTTATCGTTAAATTATTCAATAAGGTGAATAGAATGACAATTTTATAAATAAAAGACAACAATTTGTATATTTTATATTTTATATATATATTTTATAAATATACAAACAATAGTTTGTATATTTCCATATTTATACAACATTCCGTTTTTCTTTGCAGAACCAAATCAAGGAAGGACAAATACCATCTTTATTTACATTATTTTGCTATCTAAAGTATTTTGAAAAGATCAAAAATATAGATTGAATGATGACATATCTCATAAATATGTATTTGAGTTGACAAATTTGTTAAAGAATTAGCTTTATAATGGTAACAAAATTTGTGCTGTTAATTTCCGTATATTTTATTAATGAATTATATTGTCAAATAGAAACCTTAAAAATATTTTATAACAATCAGTTAATAAAGTTTATAATACTTTTGTGATTGATTTTAGTTAACATTAAAATTACTTGTGATCAATTTATTACCATAAATATTTTATTTAAAAAACATTAAATTTATAAAATTTAAAAAATTCCTTTAACCAAGTAGTAGCATTAAATTTATGGCTGTAATAACTTTTTTTATTTTTATTCGATTGTTTACTTAAAATAATTTAAACTATATAATATATAATATAAGTTAACAAAAATATTTTTCTAAAATAGATTAATATCTATGTTTTAAAGTCTATTATGTTAGTATGATAAATTCTATTATTTACTATAAATCATTAAAACATCTACAGCATAATAATTCTATATATATAAAAGATGCATCGATACTTATAAAATGTTATATATATCAACCCAGTTAAAATTTGGATTCAGAACCATATTACTTCATAAAAAAAACATTGCATCTATTATATTATAAGACAAATGACTATGCAAACTAAATTAAGTTAATAAAAGTATTGACTTGTATGATGTATTATAAAATGAATCAATAAAATTCAGATTGAACTATAAATAAATAAATATAACTAAATAACAATTTAGTTATGCGAAATTTTCAGTTTATTAAAATTTCGTGGCTATCAACTATAAACGATACACTTTACAAATAATTAATATAATTTATAGAATTATAAAGATTTAATAATTATTAATTTATTATAAAAAGTTACGTATTACAAATTATTAACTTTCTTTTTTAATTTTTAAAAATATGTCGACATAGAAGTATAAACAAATAAAATATCGTCTATATCATTTTTTTTATTTTTAACAAAGAATTTGGACTTGTCTCGATATAAATAACGAAATGAATATCTTTCAACTTGTAAACAGCGCTCTATAACAGTGCTTTCACTAATAACCAATGAACCAATTGATTAAAGCCGTGCTCATGTTTTCAGTCTATTATATTCATTTTTTATACAAGTTAAATACGAAGTATCTATAATTTAAACAAATTTTCATATTTGCATTTGAACTTATTATGGTACAGTCACAAATATAAATTTGGAATTTTTTAATTTTTATGTTAGATTATATAAGAAGCTGAGATTGTATCAATTAACATATTTTTGAGATATCGATTATGGTATTTTTAATATTATTATTTTTTAATATTATCTTGCACATTTAAATGATTAAATAAAGTAAAATATTCAATAACAATATTGTTTTTTTTTTTTTTAATAAGGTTTGAACAAAAGTTATGAAACAAGTTCTATTTTATTAAAATACAACTTTATTTGAAGTCAATAACAAATTCTGAAGTTAAGTTTTGGTCCTGACATAAATGAACCCATTCTTTTTAAATGTTTTATATAATTTTTGTTATAAAAAAACATTCTTACCTTTTAAATAAAAAAAATATATAAAGAAAAATATTTCTTTTTTTGTCCATCTTTTACGATATATTAAAACTGGGTAAAAAAGTAAAAAATAAAAAGATATTTTAATACATAAACTTCAAATACATAATAATTCGCAATTGTATAATAGTCTCAAAAATCATTAGAAGCTAAAAAGGAATTAGTAATGTTAATTGATAAAACGAAGAATCTAAACTGAAAATTTTATTTATTGTTGAAAAGTGACTTGTTGCATATAGTATCATCTAGAATTAAATCGAGTAAGTTTCAAACAAAAAGGTATAACCTTTTAATTTTTAAAAATATTAATTTTTAACTATAAACAACATGATAATAAAAGCTTATTGAAAAGGTGGTAGAAATAATAGTTTTATATTATAAAATTCTGTATATTAAATAAGCATATCTTATATCAATAAAATGGTATTTGATTAAATTGAAATTTTCGAATTTTTTACAAGTTGTCATTAAAATTATTCATAATAAATAGTAGATGTACTTACGTGTGACTTTATTAGATAATATTATGAAAAGAATTACATGCAATAGATTTAAAAATAATTTTTTAGACAATATAGAAATTATTATAATTTAATACCACTAACTAATCACACAATTAAGTACTAAATGTTAAATATTTAGAAAATGAAATTCTGTAAATCAGAATAGAAATAAAGACCTACATAGTATTCCTTATAATAATACAAAATATTAAAATTAAAAAATTATTAAATTAATTTTTTTTATATTTTTTGCAATTTGTGTTGATAATAAAATGAAATTCGATTTACTATTATATATTAAACTATCAATATGTTTTGAACATTATATTTTCAAAGTTTTTTTTTAACCTGTTTATATATGTGGAATTGAAATTGATAATATTTTACCTTAATAAAAGTATTTTGTTATTATTAATAAGTGTTAGAAAATGTTACAAACTTGGATAATTCGAAAAATATAAAAATTGAAACAAGAATAAAAAAATTGAAGACATTTAGCCTACCCAAATTCGACTGTGGGTATGATCTGGGCGTCTGCGCTGTATGACTCGATAGTTGAGATGAGGGCTGGGAATACGCTGATGAGGATGGTCTCGGAGAAACTTGCAAAAAGCTGGACTGTTGGGGCAAAGATTGAGCGTAAGAGGAATGCTGCTGGGGTTGAGGTGACAACTGCGAATAACTTGATAGTGGCTGAGGTGTTGTTTGCGAATAAGATGAGTGTTGCTCCTGAAGTGACGATTGCGAAAAATTTAATGAAGTCTGCAATGGTGATAGTTGTGTGTAACTGCCTGCTGGTATTTGAGATGATGGTTGCGAGAATCCGGGTATTAATGGTTGCATTTGTGGTGATGACTGCAAATGTGACTGTAACGGCTGTGGCAATTAAGCAAAAACAGTTATTTTATTTGAATATATTATTTATAAAATTTAATTCAAATTAAAATATAAAATTTATTCAAGATATTAAGTATTTAAATAAAACTATACGATATAAGTAGTAATCTTATGTCTAACATTATATATTAATACATTATATAATAGAAATACTAAACATTGAAGTTACAATATTTAATGGGCTTAAAAGATATCTTAGGGTAACTATAATTTATTAAATAATTTTTATTTTAATATTTATACTTCCCAAAAAATTCAATTATTTTTATATTAATAAGTGTGTCGATAAAATTGAAAAAAAAAATATGAAAAAAAATCTACATACCAAATATTAAAATACTTTTTAAAATTTATTTAAATTACTTTCATTTACTTTTTTGTATTAAGTTTTTATTGTATGCATATTTATTATATTTCCTAAAATACAAATTTATTGATTAATGTTTCAAAATTTTTAAATAGTTTATTGACAATACACTAAGAATATTAATTTTAAATTCAAATATATATATAAATATATACTGCATACGTATACGCATAAAATATTAATATTGAAATAAAAATATAATAATGTATAATTGTAATATACTTTAAATTGCAAGAATAAAGAATAAATAATAGAAATAATAAAGAATTAATAATGATAAATATTGATATTACAAATGTAATAATATATTATTAAGAAATAGATCACAAAGCCAGAAATAGTATTTCAAGTAATACAATGTTTTAACTAACTTTTTTAGTTTTACTATGAAGAAATATTTATAAACATTCAAATTATAAATTAATATTGTTAATCAATTTTCATACTATCTACATACTTGTTGTGAATAAATTGGAGATTGATCCTGAGTGACAGCAATCGTGGCTGTATATGGTTGTTGTGATTCGCTTGGTGATGAATTGTGGGGAAAGCAGTTTTGAATTTCAGGAGAGTGGAATTGTGACAAAGACTTAAACGATGTTTTTGGAATTAACTGAGAGTACAAGTTTAGTGATGCTGATACAATAGATTGATCAAAATTAACTGACGAAGGGTAGGATGGAGAACGTGGACTATTTTGAGGTGAAGATATAGGTGGCAGTTGAGCACTGAAGTGTGGTGTTGTATAGTATGGACTATTGTAGGGACTACTTCTTGTTGACAATACATCCTGATAGAATCCCGCACCTCTATGCTGTGGTTCCATAGGAATAAATGTAGGTAATATCAATGGAGGCTGCTGACTTTGTTGAGGTGATCGATGTATTTGACTAGATAGTGATTCATGAGAAAAAGAAGATACCGACTCACTGATACTATTTTCACCAATACTTGTTCGCCTTTGACTACCATGTAAGCCATTAGTTTCGAATATTTCTTCTTTTTTTGTAGAAACAGAAAAAGATGAAAGTTCCTCCTTCCCTTCCTTTTTTTTGGATTTTGGTGTTCCAAATGCTTTAAGCCTGTAATATGTATGTATATAAATAAATATATTATATATTAAAAGTATTCTTTTAGCTAATCTAAGTTTATATCTAACAATACAAAATTAATTTATATATAGTATAACGAATGAATATATAATCTTAAAAGTAAGTTTAAATTACCATGCATTCAAATTAGCTGATTTCGGTTTTTGAATTTCATCATTATTTACTTGCTTTTCCACTTTCATATTTTTTGAAATAGTCACTGATTTTTTTTTCATTATCACTGATTGTTCATTAATAATATTTGCTAAAGGGGTAACTGGATTATTGATGATTTCTTCATCATCATCCTCATTTGATAGGGGATTTGGTGAAGATACAAGAGCCTTACAAATTAATTGAATTGAATCAACATTTTTTAATACAGTACCTAGGCTCAATTTGGGTTCATCGTAAGGTTTTCGATTTATTTGGTTATTATCAATAGTCGATTGACATATGATAGTGTTATTGTTGGAAACACTTTCATTCAAAGATAGTTTTTTAGACAATAAGTTGCCTTTGCTTTTACCCGGCTGCAATCGGTCGATGGTTCTTTGCACTTTTTTAGGTTTTATAGAAGCATGCCCATATATTTTTAACGAAGTTGGTCGTTTGCGAGACGATGTATTCGTTGTCATTGCTAATACTGTTGTTGATGTCATCATCATTGTCGAATATTTATTAATCGTTGAAGCAAAAGAATCGTTTGCCAAAGAATGAAATACTGGTAAATCACTACCTGATGAAAATTCAGTTATTCTAGGGGTGTCATCTAACCATTTGTTGATATCCTGAAGAAATAATAAAAATACTTTTGAAAAGTTCTAGTACTTTATAAATAATTTAATAATAGAATAAAATTATTACACAAATTTTATTGTATTTTCTTGCAAATAACACTAAATACTTTTTGAAATTTAAAAAAATCTTCTATTGAAGGTTAGAAAATTAATCAAGGAATTTTAATACTTCCATTTTATAATATAATTTCAAATTTTGAAATATTTTTATTTCAAAACAATTTTTAGATGATTTCTCTAACAGTATTTGTTGCAAATCTATTTGTTGATACATTTATTTAAAAACTTATACGAGTTTTAAAATAGAATTATCTTTGATTATTAATAAGTATTAATAAATATTAATTTAGTAAATCGCGAATAAAATAAAAGTAAAACAAATAACAGATTTTTTCTTTCTAATGACATTCAGAATAATTTAATTACAAAGCTTTCTTGAAAATTTCATGTAAATTATAAAAAAATAATTAATATATATAACTTTTTAGTAGATAAAAGTAACCAAGTAATTAAATAAAAGCATTAAAATACCTGCAAGAACTCTAAAAACAAATTTATTTTTTAAAAGTATAGAATATTCCAACCATAGTTTTTCTATCATTAAAAATAATTAGAAACCATTCTGTAATTATACATATTATCAACATATAAATGACAGAATTCTACGTAAAAAAGTTAAATAATAATATATGGATTAATACATATAAACATAATATGTAATTTCGTAAAAAATTATATTTTTAAATTATTTTTAAAAAAATATTTTCTAATCGTCAAATTTTTAAGCATATGAAACTGTGAAAGATAAGTAGTATTAAATAGTATAAAGTTCGGTTTCAAAAAAATGACATATTTGCAACTTCCATTGTATTGTTTACTTGATGAGTATTTATAAAGCAAAATATCAATTTATAAAGTTTAATATGATTTTGTATACAATAAAATGCTTCTAATATGTTTATTATTTAAATACTATATATTTGCATATACATCTAAAAATGAACCTTTAGATATCCAATTAATCATATCTATCTTTTATCTATTACTTTTTTTATTAGTTTTTTTGAATATATACTAACTTAACCATTTAGTAAACTACATATTACCTTATTTGTTATATTTATATATTAATTAATGCATAATATGTTATATAATAAATACATATTCATTTGTATCAGCTATCATATATTTTAAAGTTTTATCAAATATTTATTTTCTTAAGCATTTATGATATTCTGAATAACTGCAAGTCGAAAATTAATTATTTATATATTAATATAAATAATGAATTTAAGAATATAAGAGTTAAGAAATATTTAAATCAATGATTGTTATAAATATGTTGATATTTTTAATTTTTTTTTTAATTATTTGTATGCTATAATTAATTTAATAATTAATTTAAATTAATTGTATTTATATTTTCCACATTTAATTTTATTGACTTTACTTTTTTTTTATTATTTGTAACCAGAAAAAAGCAAAAAATGAATCACAGACTTACATTAAGTGTTTGTTCCGTTGCCTGATTAAGTGCTTGAATAGTGGGGTCTCCTCTTTCAGAAACTTTGGTATATTTATTATAGGCGGTTTTGATATTACAAGAGATTTTCTTTGGTTTGCTATTATCTAGATTTTGATTGCTGTTCTGAACATTCTTATTTTTTCTATTCACATTTTTAAATTTTAATTTTGTATTATCTAATTTATTATTATTTTGATGATAGGTGCTATCGTTACAAGGCACTTTTTTAGAAATTCTAGGAATATTATCCACTTTCAATGATTGATTTTTCTTTCTTTTTCGTTCTAGTTTCCATATTTTTTCATGTGGTTTTTTACTTATTTTATCTTTTAAACCATCAAGAAATTCAATATCTTTATTAATGATACAAGATTCACATTTTTTTATTTCATTTTTTTTTGAATTTGTTGTATGAGCAACATTTTTAATATTGTTCCTCTTTTTTATTTTATCTTTTTCTTTATTAATATTTGTATACAAAGATTTTAATTTTTCTTTATTACTATTGCGACTTTTTTCTCTATTTCTAGATGGAGAAAACAGTTTGTCATTATTATCCAATGACTTTTCATCAGATTCTATTTTCTTATTTTTATTTTTTCTTATCCTATCAATCAAACTGTCTAATTCTTTACTTTTTTTCTTATCAATTTTCTTACTTTTACTCTTTGACATACTAATAGAATTATAATCTTGAAAATCATCTTTCCTTTTTCTATTGCTTTTCAGCTCCTTTGTAGAAAATAATTGCTTATCTTGGCGTATTTCTTTCTTAAACTTTTTATTTAATTTTATAGATCCATCAATTTCTTTCTTCAATATTTTCTTATTTTTCAAAATTATCCGATCATTATTTCCTTTTTTTCTTTTAGATTTGATCACATTTGTATCACTAATGGCAACTTTGTTTTCTTGCCCTTTATTTTCTTCTACTTGAATTTTTTTTTCACTCCTTAATTTCTTTTTGTCTTTCTTTTTAATATTTAATACTTCTATGCCTATTTTTTTATCCTTTTTTATAAAATCGTCATATATTTGTATTATTTTTTTTTTATTTATTTTAGTATTGATATTAACTTTCTTATTTAATTTTTGTAAGTGCTTGTGTCGTTGACTATAACGAATTGAAGATAATGAAGTTTTATTTTTACAATTAGTTAAATCAATATCTCTGTCAGAAATAATAGGCAATGAATCATTACTTGTTATTTCAGACTCTAAATATAGATCTACTGCTTTATCAAATACTTGCGTTAAATGCATAACCATGTTTGTATATTCTGTAAAAAAAAAATAAAAATTTTATATCTGCATTTAAAGTACAAATATTCAATCACTATATACATATACTTGCCATTATTAGAACCATTATACTGTTTACAGTTTTCAACAATAAGATGAAAATCACGTTTGAATTGATTTAAAGTCTTATAAGAACCATCTTCTAACTTATCTTCCATAGTAGTGAGATCCATAGGATATTGGACAACGCTATAGTATCTGTAGAAAATAAAAAGTATATTTATAAATAGGTTAAAGAATATTCTATTCTATATAAAATTTTTGTTAAAGAATATATGAAAAAATAAATTAATTAAGATAAATCCAAGAATATAATGTAATAAATAAATAAAATAAACAGTTTCAACTGATTTGTAATTATTTATAAATGAATATATAAAGATTTAATTAAAAAATTTAAATGCATATTAGAAGATTATATCTATCATCATCATCATAATCGTTATTTATTACAATTTTAGTTATGAAAATCAAAAAATTCACAAATTATTTAATATTTTTTATTAATTTTATTTAAATTAAATAATTTATAATAGACATCTAAATTTGTTAAGTTATTAGTATTTTTATTTTTCAGTTTATTTTGTATTAATCAGAATTAAATCACAAATTACTTAGGTGCATACTGCTCATCCACTGGATCTATAAAAGGCCATGCATCCTTGTGATTTTTTAAAATCTTAAGAACTTTATGCATTCCAATTTGCTGTTCCTCTTCTTCATTGTCAAAATTATACTCATAACTATAAGTAGAGGAAATGTCACTCCCATGTTTTTCTGGCCCTTTCTTATTTTCCACATTTGTTGCTTCATTATATGTGTCAATTAGAATCTGTCCTACCGCAGAAGCTAATGAATTATTAGTTTGTCGGCCTTTTTTTTGAACCGGCGGTGACACAATTTCTTTTTGTGATTTAGTGGTTTCCGATATTTCATTTGCACGGTTTTTAGGTCCTTTAGTCTTATCTTTTATCTTCCTTTTGACCATTGTTGATTTGTTGATCTTTTCCTTCGAATAAGTTTTGACAATCGTAATAGTATTGCGTTGTAAAAGTTTTCGTCTTTGCTGTTTTTCTTTCAAATCAAACAGCTTTGGAATTTCAGGCATGAAATCTTCGGAAAGTATCTTATAAAGTTTTTGTTCGGTAGCGTATTCCTATAAAATAATACTTAATAATAGTGATGATCATGATAACGATGATGATGACGACGACGATGATGTTTATAATAATAAGAGAGAATTACATAGAACACGTTTTTTTATAGAAAAGTTAGTATGACTCAACATTTATTTTTACGTACTTTTGAACTCTTTTATAAAAATAATGATCATATATTTTCATCGCGTTTTATTTGGCTTTATTTGTTTTGTTTAATAAATTTCATCTTGACGTATATTTATATGTATCAAGAATGTTTACATTTGTTAAATTATAAAATTATATATTATCAAATCTATCAACAATGTTATTATAAAAAAATCATATCTTTCAAATTTATTGATAATAATAATTGTTATAATGAAACTAAACCTATAATTATAAATGAAGTAAAATGAATAAAAATAATTTTATAAATACCATTTTACTTCATTTGTATTATCTTAATATTGATTCTATAATTAATACTAATTTAAGAATATAATCATTATAAAATATTAAATAAATCTACCAAAGATATAAAGTAAGTCATAAGTCCAAAAAATGAGCATTATTAAATCTTAGATTAAACTATTCATAACTTCTGACACAAATTAAAATTACACTAAAAATCTTTAAATTTTATTTAACCAAATTTTTATATTTTTGCTTAAATTATATATGCTAGATTTCAAAGTACTTATAGAAACAAATTTTAAAAAATGGAAATTTAACAAGATTTATTGAAAATACCTATTTTAAATTGAGAACATTTGTTATATATTTTTAAATGATGTAGGAGTTTAAAACATATGTAAACGTGAATCAGTAATTGTATAAATTAAAATACGTAATATAGGGGACTTACAATTACCCATTGAGTTTTATTATTTCATTTGAAAAATTGTTGAGTTTTACAAACAAGATAATCTATTTCAATATTATTTAACATTATGAACAGAGCTATTTTATCAATTTCTATATTTAAATAGGTAATAGTATGATTATTTTATCAGAAAGTTTGTTACGAATACAATAAATTAAAATAATAAAACGTATAAGTGAATCATGAGTTTTTCAATATATGGGAACAAGAAGCCATTTAAATTAGTGTAATACGATATATACATAAAGTATATACTTAGATTTAGTCTTTAGATATACAATTATCAAAATCGAAAAAAGTTTAATCAATAGCTTTTACATTAAATTTTATATTATAAACTTTATTTGTTATTTTATTACCCATTTTTATTATATTGCTAATTTTTCATTACTCATATAAAAATTATTATAATTTACATGATTATTAACTGTACAACATAATTATCAAATTATATAGTTTTATTAAAATATAAATGTTACGTAAAATGTAGACAAACACGTAGAATTTAAAATGAAAAAAAAATATTGATATTGGATAAACTGTACTCTTAATAGAAAATATTTTTATTCAGAGTACCATCAATAATGTTCACATATATCACAACAAATTTTTGATTAAATAAAAATATGAAAAAAGTTAAAATTAAATTACTTACAGAATCTTTGAATTTTTCAACTAAACGATTCCAGTCTTGAAGCGTAAAACACACTACTTGCCAAATACTCTCTTTGTCTTTAGTTTTGTTTTTTAAAATAATACAATTTTCTTCTTTCGCCGTTTCCTTCTTTTCCTTTTTTGCCGATTTATGCCTACGCCTTTTGTGTCTTTTGTCTCTTGATTTGTCCCTTTTCTTCTGAGAAAAAAAATTTGAAGATTTGATGTGGTCCTCCCTATATAGTCGAGTTCCATAAAAGTACCAATAGGCAGAATTTTTATGATCATGACCTAAAGGTTCAACTCGCAGACAATCAGAATCTAAATCACTTAATAATTCTTCCTGTTAGAAAATGCAAAGCTCTATAATTGCAAAAAAAATTTTTTTGAATAGTTGGAATTGATTTAAAATATTTAAGATTCAAATACTACAATTCATAATGTTACGATTAATAAAATAAATGTATACATAAAAAATGACTAATAATAAATGATATTGCAATACATAATAAAAAATAAGTTAAAAACCTAAATAAATATTAAATTAAATACTAATTAACATAAAATATGTAAGATGTTCTGAATATTTAATAAATAATATGAAATTTCATATCATACATTTTATACAGTAAGATAATTATTATTTTCAACTTATAAATTGAAGAAAAAAATGAATTTTAAAAAAATTGAAACGGACAATGGTAACTTTAATATACTGATTGTAACGAGCAAGGCTTACTACATCTTTGGTATCAAGCCGAAAATCACAAAGGGCCCACAATATTTCTACTTTTCGACGAAGTGGTAGTAATTCAAAATCTATATCTGTATTGAATGGATTTTCACATTTATATTCCTAAAAGCAAATAATTTTCTTTAAAGTTTTATATAAAATAATGAATGTAGCTAAATTATTATATATATATTATTTTAAAATATTTAAAATCTTATAAATGCTTGCATAATAGTTTATGATTATTAATAAAAATTAAATTTATTAATAAATTTTTTATAAAATTTGTATATTGAATACTTTCCAAATTAATAATTATATTACATACTTGACATTTTTTACGGAAGAGTCTTCTAAGAAACATCTGATAATTAAAAGTAGAAATATCATTGCGAGTATCATCTGGTAAACAGCCTTCTAATAATCTTACAATAAGTTTGTGTAATAAATGGCTTTCTGTACCAGTATCTGTTAAAAAAGCTTCTTCTAAATCCTAAAACAGTATTTAATAAGTATAGTTTTTATTTATGAATAGTCAATGGAGTTCAAAATAAGAATAAAAAATTTTATGTAATTGTCTTATATTTTTGTATATTAATGTTGTACTACAAATTGGTAATTATGTATTTAAGAAAAGGAATTTATATCGATTAAATACCTCAATATCAAAATCCAAAAGATTGAAAGCATGTCTGAATAAAGAACAAAAATGAGCTATACTCGGCACCTCCCACCACGATTGTATGTCTATAAAAATAAAATAACCTAGTATAGTTATCTAATTTACGTATGCAAATATAATTTCAAATTAGATAAAATATCTTTCTGTAAAATAACATTTTTATATAAAACAATGATTTAAAAACTTCTTCAAATGTTTACTTTACCATTATTATTATGTGGTCATTGTATATTAATAAATCTACACAAAAAAAATTCGTTAAATAACTAAAATGAATTATTATTTTTAATTATTTAAAATATTTATTGCTAAAACTTTAAAATTATTATATATTTTTTTATCAAACAATAATTTATAAAGTTTTCTTTTATATATTAAAAAAAATATGTAAAGATTTGATTCATTTCAATTTTTCTTTATTAACAAATTTAGTTTCAAATTATATTTTTTTTAAATTACAAAATATATGTAATTACATAAAATGATTGTATAAATATTTTAAACAATAAATAACAACTTTGATATACATTTTAATATAATATATTTTGTGTTGTTATATTTATTTTGTTTGGGTTATTATAAATAATATAATTATACATAAAATTATTTAATAAATTCATAAGATTATAAAATATGATTATTGCTATTTTAAAATTTTTGTATAAATACATGAATCTTATTTGAAAATTTTCATGATCAAAATAATGCATAAAATATATTTAAAACTTATAATGAACGTTAAAAATAAAAATACACTGAGAAATATTCTGAGAAGATTTTTGGAAATAAATAGATTCTATAAACATTAATTTAAAAATATTGAATAAAATAATATATTTTTAAAAATTGTAATTACCTAGAATTCCAATAAAAGTGGGAAACATAACCTATCATATGTGAACAATTAATATGTTAAATTTGAATGAAATAAATAACAACTCAACAGTGAGCTTTCTACAGAAAAATAAAACTTAGTTCCAGTCATTTATATCAATATTGTTCTATACATAGCAGTCGAAATACTATTAATGCTAATAATTCTAATAGAATTAACAAAGCACGGGTATATGTAAATATGTTTGAGCCACATTCCATACTGTTCCATATTTTTTTATATATAATGTCCAGGTTTCTTGTTACAAAATCATACTTTCTTTTAATATATATAAATCTATGACAAAATTTTTTTATCCAGAAAATTTTTTATCATGTTTTTGATTACAATATTAACTTTGTATATACAAATAATCTTGATTTTAATTAATAATTTATGTATATAGTTATACATTACAGAATACAACTCACTATCACTATCACAAATAATTAAAGTATAACTTCATAATACAAGTATAAGTTACAGTTCAGAACTTTATAACACTTTATGTATACCTACTAATTTTGGAAAATCTCATCTGCTGTTATTATGGTGCACTGCATTTATTTTTGATCTGAAGTATAAATGGTGATAATTTTATTGGCAATACTAATGTCAATGAGTATTGCATCAAACCTATAATTTGAATCATTCTTTCGTATATAACTACTCCATTTGAAAGAAAACATAATATATACAAATGTCATAATCTATATAATTTGCACAATAATTTTCAATAATATTCTTATTTAAAACTGCCTTTTTATTTTATTTTTAACTTCTAACTTCTTATATTATTCATACTATTTGTTGAAGAAGTTGAAATTCTGCTAAGTTAATTTCAAAGATTACTAATGTATATATTTTGTATAACACAATGTGAAAAAAATATAATTTTATTATATTATGAAAAAAACTGCACGAAAGTAAAAAGAAACAACACATGAAAAACAATTAAAAGTGTATATTATCAAAAGTAAATAAAATTTGATTCTTAATATGTAACTGAACAACTTTAAAGCTAACTCTTAAATATATCTACAATTACTAACGTTCAATAACAAGACTACTTATCAATTAGTACGTACCTAAATACCAACATATCTACAAACCACAGTGTCCTCTAACGATAAAAAATTGAAATACGTTCCAACTGACACAGGTAAGATTTACATTTTTTTCAATGTAAAAAAAGATCGAAAGGCTCGACCAGTGAACAAGCTGAAATTATATAACTCTAATTGGTTCGGTAATACTACTCATTATAGCGCCAATTATAAAATGAAAATTCTGCAAATTAAAATTTAAGAATATTTATTTTCTAATATGCTAATAATTACAAATAACAGTTGCAATACAATTTATAAATTTTGGTTTACTTTAATATTTCTATAGTTGACAACATTAAAAATTATTTATAATATTAGGATATGATGGATGTTTATTTTGTATTTATTTATATTGTTTTATGATATATTATTACAATTTTTTATTATACCATTGTATTAGGAAAATATTTTACACATTTGAAACTACATAACGTTTTATTTACCCCAATAAATTAATTTAGATATGAAAATTTAAGATGATTCGCATTATTAATCTCTTTCTCTTTTTTCATGAATTAAATAAAGACAATTAAAATTAAAAAAAAATCAATTTAAGTATTTTTTATCTATGCAAGTATTATTCTATTATTTTGACAAGTTAAAATACATGTTACTTTGAAAAATAGAGATTCATTCATTTCACAATACTTTTTCTCTTAATAGAATCAATGATTTTCACTTCTCACCAGTTTTTTATAAAAACTATTAGAAAATGAATTGTTCTATACATAATTATCCTTAATAATTTTCTATCTTTATCATTTTATTTTGCATATCTTCGTATTCAAAGAATTTTAATATTGTACTTCTTGAAACTTTCATAATTAATTCTATTATATATTATAATAGATTATTATATTATTGCTTTTATGAATCATATAAAAATTAAATATATTAGTATCCTGAACTGATCTATACTAATCTACATGTATGTTAAATATATATTTTGTAATTTTAGTTCCATCAAATATTTTCTATGTTTATAATTATAAACGTTCATAAATATAAATGTTTATAAATTAAGAATTTACTTTCAATTTAAACCAAAATATTTATTATGTAATTTGGTTTTTACAGTTTATTTTGTATTTAATTTTGAAAGTAATGCAGTGATTTTGCATAGTTAGTACTTCACTTAATTTAATATGCTTTTATTTGATACAATAAAATAAGATGTTTTAATATATGGGATGAGATTTTTATTTAAGAGTATAGTTGAATTATTTACTTTATAAATTAATTTGGAATAGTAATTTCAATATTATCAGTTTTTAGTAATATTATTTTTCTTATTCAGTAAATTATTATACCCATTACAAAAAATTCAAAATAACTTAAAATATACAGTGTTTATAAATTAAATGTTGATATTTAGCAATGTTTGTTGCAAAGTTCAGTGATTCTCTACATTCGCAAGCTTGTTTAAATTAATTATACTAAATAACGCCATTTTAATAATATAAATAGTCCGAAGTTTGAAAGTGGTTTAATATTTAAAAAATTTTTTTCAATTATGTGAATTAAATTATAAATATTACTACATTTAGAACAAAAAATTATTTAATGAATGTATTACAAAAATACTTAATAATAACCACTCCTGTATTTAAACTTTAATAATAAAGAAATTTTTAAAAAGTTTAAATAATTGATAAACGATCAGAATGTATTAAGCATTGATATTAATTGTATATTAACAATTATGTCATAATTCAATTTTTACAAAAAATTGTATTTACTATTTTTTCACTTTCACTTTATCCTTCAGTAATTCATGGCTTTAATCTCTTATAATGTTAAATTATTAAAATGTTTATATTAAACGTTTACATGGGTACAATTGCTTCCAGGCCAATTAGAACCCAATGTAAGAAAACACATTAAAAACTTATTAAATATTTCAGCAATTAATTATAAATTAGTTGTTTTGAAAAGTATTTAATGTTTTCAATATTTTTATGTAAATAATTTTTTTTTAACAGTAAGAACTGTATTTCTTATACAAATAATCATTTTGTTTTTCATCATTATATATATCATATTATGTACAAGCGAATCAACCAATAGTTGGATAAAATATTTTTGAGTGTTTTTCAAAATATTCTAAAAACTGTAAAAATTTTTTTCTTTTATGTATTTGAATGTGGAATGGAATATATATATTAAAAGGGGCATTTTAAAAAACAACTTTAATTGTTTATAAATATTTGAATGTAAGCATATACAATAAATATTTTATGTAAGTTTTAAAATAAAAGAGAAAATGTCCTTTCTTTTTACAATCCTCTAATTCTAACATATGGTTTAATATGATCTATCGTATAGATTGGAGGAAAGTGGAAATATTCCAGATTACAACCTTAATTGTCTCTATCCAATCATAAAATTGATAAGTAATAATATTTAGAATTAATATAAGTCTATAAAAAAGGTTTGAAGCTTATTATTATAAAGAAATTACTATTTAGTTTTCCATAATTCATTTGCAGATTCTTTAATTAGCTATATGTGGAGAAAAAGCATTATATTATTGATACTTAAATAATTATAAATATTATAACATATTTATATTGTGAAATAACATTGACTAAGATTCACTTATACTCTACTTCATATTTTACAATAAATATTATCCAAAAAATATTTAAAAGTAATATACTTTTTTATATATAATTTGTAATTGATTTTATTAGTGGTATATGCATGTATTTTTATTTAATATTTCTATGTAATTCAGTATTGGTAATTAATTTATAAATTACATTATTTTTATAATTCAGATTCTCCAAAATAGAATTTTGAAAATGTACTAGTAGTGCTATGTCAATTACTTATTAACTTTTATTCTACTTTTTCAACAGTAAATTGTGAATTTTAGATTTTATAGATTTCATTTTTTATATTGTGCAGAAATATTAATAGTCATTTGATTCTATCTTGTATATTATTTATACATATAAACTGAATATTAAATGGCTGATATATTAATAGGCGAGGATATAATTAAAATCAAACAATTTTTATCTAAAGTAAGTATTTATTATTAAAATCTTTATTACGTTAAATATAATTATTAGTGCGATTACTTTTTTAAATAATAATTTTGAAAAATAACACTATACAAAAATTATTACAATAATAATAGATAATGTATTTTATTATAATTTTAGTATCATAATCCAGATATTACATTCAATGACATTGTTGGAGTGATAAAAGTATATCCTAGTTTATGCTGGAAAATAGAGCCATTTGGTATGTTTTAACATTTTTGAAAATTTGAGCAGATGTTTAATTATAAAACTTGCATAAACTTACAGTATTTAATAATGGATCTCGTAAGCTATTAATTCAATTACAGGGAACAATACCTGTCACTTTCAGATGTAATTTCATTATAAGTCAGATGTTATATATTAAAGTTAAAAAATAGATATTCTATTACTTTAATATTTTTACAGGTAATATCTATCATATACCAATTTGTATTTGGGTTATGGATACACACCCAAACAATGCTCCAATGTGTTATGTTACACCTACACAAGAAATGAAAATCAAAGTTAGTAATTTTATTGATCATACTGGCAAAATTTATTTGCCATATTTACATGACTGGATTCCAGTAAGTTTAATATATTAAAATATATTTAAAAATTAATATTTTAGTACTTATTTTTCTGAATTTTTAGCATAAATCAGATTTAGGTAGCTTAATTCAGGTAATGATATTAATTTTTGGTGAACAGCCACCAGTTTTTAAAAAACGAAATACAGAATTAGTGTTATCCCATGAAATTACATCACCTTATCCTAAACAATGTAAAAAATATTTTAAAAATTTTATTCTTTAAGTATTTACTTATAATCATTAATTGAAGTTTATTTTTAGCTGTTTCGCAATTGTTACCACAAAGAGAATATATGCCACATATGTTGCAGAATATATATCCTTCAACTGATATTACTTATCCAAATTTTCCATTATCCGGTTCAACATCAAATTATCCCATAGTAGGTTATACCGAACCTTTTCCTCCATATTCCTCTGTAAGTATATATAATTATTCTATAATAAGCACATAAATTATTTTCATAATTTGTAATAAATTTATAATCAATGCACTGTTCAATAAAATTAAATTTTAATATTACACATTCATAATTAAAAATAGTCAATGAACTGTATTTAAGATATTTTATTTGTTTAATTATTCATTATAGTTTTTTTAAATCTCTATAATGTAATTGTCAATTTTTTTTTATTGGAAAATTGTTAAACTGAAGTAACTCACTTGGATTTTTTAAAAAATAATATTAAATGTATAACAATTTATATTGCTTTATAATAATTATAAGAACAATCTACAAAATATATTAAAAATTAAATTGGATTTGAGATATTTCATTATTATACAATTCAAGTATTTTTTAAAATATACATTTCCATATTTTAGTAAATATTTCATTTTTATTAAATTAGATAAACACTGATATTATTTATATTTAAAAAAATGATTCATTTTTGTAGTCACCAGCCCTATCTGGAAATTCAAGTAGTACTGGAACGATCACAGAAGAACATATAAGAGCATCTGTCTTATCAGCAATTGGTGATAAACTAAGACGACGACTTCGTGAACAATTTTCTCAATTACAAGCAGAACTTGAAACATTACAACGAACCCAACAAGAATTATCAGGTGGCTCTGTCCGCTTAACTGAGTTATTTGCTAAATTTCAAAAAGAGAAAATAGAACTTGAAAAAAATATAAGAATTTTACAAGATAAGGAATTAGAATTACAAAAAGAAATAAATAAACTTTCAAATAACCAATCGATTGATATTGATGAAGCAGTAACTACAGTTGCTCCTTTATATAAACAGTTAGTATAAGCAATTTACAAATTTTCACAACATTTATAAAGTTAATAAATATCTAAAGAGAAATTAATTTGATTCATAGAATGTTGAATGCTTTTGTGGAAGAAGCTGCTATTGAAGATGCAATTTATTACCTTGCTGAAGGATTGCGAAGTAGTATAATTGATCTCGATGCATTCCTTAAACAAGTTAGACAATTATCAAGAAGACAATTTATGCTCAGAGCTTTAATGTCATTATGTCGTCAAAAAGCTGGATTAACAAGTTAAAAATTGTATTAATTTCACATCATATTTTATTTAAAAAATGTATTTAGTACAACAAATTTAATCCTTATGTACTTATAAATTATAAATAAAAAATTAATGCCTTAAAACTTTAATGTGTTTTAAATAGTTATAACTTACATGTTCATAAGTAATATATGAAATATAAAAAACTAAATGTATTGAATTATTAATCTTTACTTATATACTAATGGGGAAATGAAAAGTTTTTCTGTAATTATTCGATGTTTTTGTTTGAACATTTTATATTTTAAACTTAAAAAAAGCAATGAAAAATTAGATCAAAATCCCCCAGTTTGTTGTTGATATACTTCTATTGTATCGCCTTCTTCCATTTCTAATGTTGAAGGTGTATCAAGTTCATGAATTGGTTGTCCATCAAATCTAAATCTTACGGCAGCAATTGCTAATCCCTGAAATATTTTAAATAAATATGTACAGATATTTTTTAAATATACTTTCTATAATGAAAATATGTAAACATACCGCGCGATCACAATATGCATTCATCAATTTTCTTAAAGGTGTATGTTTTTTAATTTTAAATTGAACAACGCCATTATCCTGACCCAATACTTTCAAATTTATGTGTTCCGATTCTTTTGAATCCTATAAAATATAATACAAGTTTAATGTTAACAATTTTAATTTGAAAAAATTCATAAAGTAATGCCGACTTTAAGGTTATAAAATTCTACCTTCTTATCGTCCGACATTTTTTATTTTTGAATTTTCTAATTATTTTTTTATTATTTTATTAAATGTTACGAGTATCTATCACTAATGTTTTAATTCCAAATAGAATTAAATTTTTTATAACAATGATGAAAATAGTTTCTTATATTCCTTTTGACTGCAGGGTATTATCTGCCTGTAAATATAAATTCCGAATTTTAGACATGGATTTTGGAACAAGTACACAGTAAACTAAGTAAGCAATATTGGTAATAAATTGAGAAATAATCTGTTACTTTTGTTAATCTTTTATTAAAACAATTATACTGTTTATCAATTAATAATTCTTTAAGAAATTAATTATCTTCTATTCCTCAAAAAGAAGTTTTAGAACATACTTTAACAATACTAAATATTTATATAATATAGATCATTTCCTTACAAATTTTAGATATTAATTATTATATTTATTAAATTCAATTATTTATGAAATATTAAAATTAATAATTACATGATAATATTTAATATGAAAAATTAGCATTATTAAAGAAATTTTGGTTTGAAAAATTCTTCAAAATATTTAATTGTGAATGTTCAAAATTATAAAATATTATATTTTGTTTATTTGTTAAATATAATTACTTTAAATATTTCTGGAAGTTTATATTTATTTATAATTGTTAATTAATTAGATAAATAAAAATGCAAGCTTACAAGAACTAAAAGGAGTAAAATTTAAAAGAATTAACTTAATTAAAATTTTTATCAACATTTTTTTTTTTTTTTGAAAAATACGAAATCAGACTGGACTAAAAATTTAATTCAAAATTCAATATTGATAAAAACAAAATGGTTTGAAATTCATTATGTAATAATGGGACGACTTAATTACAAGAATAATAAAATAATAAATTACTCTTCTATCTTAATATTTATAATTATTAAGTTAATAAGATTTAGTGTCCTAAATATTTTACTTTTCCAAAAATAAACATAAACAAAAATTGGTAATATTAGTGTTTTCAAAATTAGTTAAAGTTATTATAATTGAAAATATGTATTTTTAAAAATCAATTTTTTTTTATATTATATCCGAATATCTATTTAATCAATATCATTCTATTTTAATGGTTGAAACAATAAAATTTAAAATAGGAGCATCTATTTTTCAATGAAGCCCTAAAATATATTAGTAATGAATAAATTTATTCATACTTAATAAAAAAATCGATTCGATCTGTAACTTTCGTTAAACCATATCTAGGTGATAAATTAAACAATTGCATGATTTGTTAAAAAGAAGAATGTATTTCAAAAATATTGATTATATATTTATTAATCGAAAGGATATATTAATGATATATCATGAATATATTTCTAATTAGTCCCATGAATATCATAATTATACATAATAGAAACTAAATAAAATATTCATCCATATACATAAAAATACAAGAACAATTATTCAAAATTCTTCAAACGATAAATCAATAAATTTCTTCAGCTTTAATTCAATCTATTTTACTTTAAAATGATATTTGTTACTAAAAAGTTAATTTTTAACTATATATAAAAAGTTTTTTAATTATTTTTCGTATAATTAACCAAATAAAATAGTTAATACATAGAATTAATACATAAAATAATGTATACTTCTGTTTTCTTATTAAAAACTGTGAATTCCATAGAAACTTTAACCTTAATCTGCATTGCTTCACTTAAAAAGCATGGATTTCATTATAGAAATTTTTTAGAACTGTAGTAATGTAAACATTATCCTTATATATAATATCATAACTACCTTTAGAAATGGTAGCTTCGACGGTAACCGTATGAAAAGAAATCATTGCTATCAAATCTTAATTTTTTTTTTTTAAAGAAAAATCTAAAAATTTATATTCGTCAATAAATGTCAATATGTAGAAACTATGAAATTACTGATTTATATTAAATCGTAATGTCATTAATTATTTTTGCTTAATATTTATTAAATACCGTATAAATGTATTGTATAACTTTGTCTTTCTGAAAGATTACATAATATTTGCATTATCGATTATAATTGCATGGTATATCAGTATAATATTTATATACCAGAAATCTGAATAGATGTTGGCGAACTTGTTAACGAATTTATCAGATATATTCTAGTTTTCATATATATCATGCAGTATCACCACCTTAATATCAGTTTAGTTAATTTGTTTATTATTTTACAAATAACTAACAAATTTTTTTGACACATTGATTTTTCAACTTTAATTTTTGCATTCACAAATATTATTCAAATTCTTATTTCTAGTTATTAAAAATAAAATATTTTTAAAAACTATATAATATTAGCTTACATTATAATTATATTTTATTCAACAATCTTCCATTTGTAATAGATTAATACAACATCCAATTTCTCTGCTATTTTTAGATGTTTTAATTTTTGTCTATTATTTTTGTGTTTTTAATTTCTAACTTAAATTACATTAAACATTATTACTTTTAAATAAAGTATATATTGTTTTATTAACACCTACATAAATATTTTTTATTTCAATTTTGCTATTATAATCGGTATTTAAAATATAAAATATATGTTAACATTCAAAATAAAATAAAATGATACTATATAATATAATTTTATGTAAGTGTTTCTAATAAATTTAGGTTTTAATATTTTAATTACAATGAAATATTTATATCGCTAGATATTGAAAATAATTAAATATGCAGTTTTCAATAATTTAATAATTTTAATTGAATGTATATATATAAACTGTAAACAGTACAATAAACATATTAAATAATTAAGAAAGATATACTATTCTCAAAGGTTTTAATTATATACATTCAAATAGTTAGCGTAAGTCTTTTAATTACATTACTGGACAGATAATGTTTGACATTAAATAATAATTATATTTAAATTTACTATATTTATTTTATTAAAAAAGTTGTGTAATAATAATGGATTTCATATGCAATTTACTGTTATAATTAATTTATGGTAAAAAGATTATATGCATATATATATATATATGCATGTATGAATGAATGAATGAAAATAATAATTTTATATAAAGACAATTATTCTAATATTTCACAATTTTCCATTAATAAAAATTTATCCAAATTTAAATATTTAGTATATAATTTCTTTTGTATTGTAATTAATATTATCAAATAATATACAATTGTAAGAAAATAATGATTTATATGTCTAAATACAAAACTAGAATTTTATTATTTTAGTATTAATAAAATGTTTATTGATTAGTTCTAATTACTTAAAAAAACGTTTATAAAATAAATTAATTTATAAATGAATATATATTAATTATAAAAGAAAAATAAATAATCAATTCTTTTAATAGATTTTAAAATAATAAAATATAAAAATAATATTTAACTTATGAAGGATTATTTTTTAAGTAAAATATTTGTTTTAATTAGACATAAGTAAATATAATTAGATGCAAAATAGTATAATTAGATAGAAGTAGATATAGTATAAATAACGTAGATACAGTTAAATATAAATAAATATAAAGTAAAGACAATTAGATATAAGTAGATATAAGTAAGTATAAAGTAGATATTCGGTATGTAAATGTATTATGTATAAGAAAATAATTGGGTTTCAATTAATTTTTTATATGATACTTATCACATTTACATGGGAGCTTTGTATAGCGCATATTAATAACACCATTAATTAGTATTAAGCGATTTAATTTTAGTAAGAATAGAAATATATCGAAATAGTATCAGAATTAAATTACTTATATAATTTTCTTTCGATTTAGATTATAGATAAAATAAGCTAACATCCAAGTTTTTGCAAATAATAAATAAAATGAATAGATTACTTATAGAATTAGAAATTTATACTAATAAAATAATACAATATATTGAAAAATACTTAGCAATAAAAAAAATTTAAATTATTTAAAATTATTTAAGTTTTTGTAAATGTAATTTTTTGAAATTACACAGACATTGACTTTTGTATTATAGATAATTTTATTCATACTTAACAATTATTAATAAAAATAACAATTACTAAATTTTAATACATGATTTATGTATGCAAAATTTACAAAAATAAAGATCTTTGTTAAACTTTTTATTTTTATTTTACAATCAGCATAATCATTTTATTAAAGAAATTATTTTTTGTCTTATAGTCAAAATCAATATGAGATATTATTTTTTGTGTAGTTTATAAAGTTGCTATTTATAACATGGTTAGAATTCATTATTTATTTTCATAATATAGTGGTTTTACGGATGTATAATATTTTTAATTTTAATTATATATATGTGTACATATATTTATCAGATTTTATATTTTTGCTTAGATTACTATATGTTTTATTTTAAATAGACTTTTATGAAAGTAAATTTATAACATAATGTTTATATATTTTCCTCACTATATTTACTTTCATGCATATTACAAAATAGTACACACCTTATTAATATAAATAGAATTATCAATTTTAAGTTTTCATATTACAATTGACTTATAATTATTAAAGGTAAGTAAATTTAATATTCAGAATTTTAAAAATAGACAACATTAATTTTTTATTTTTTACTATTGCAATAATTTCAAAACACTGTAACATTCTATAAAATCTTTAACAATAATGAAATTAATACTTCTACATGTACTCAGATTTCTCTCTTTAACTACTGTACAAAAAATTATCTTTAATAAATCACTGTAGTAAATTTACTTAATTTTAAAATCATGTAAATTTTATGAGAAACAATGATTTAAAAAAAATATTGTTTTTTTACATATGACAGTAATAGCAAAAACTATAAAATATATCTATTATTAAACATAAAGAAAGCATAAATTTGAAGAGTAGAATCGTTCAAAGTATCATTAATTCTGTGTCAATTTTAATATCTTCATTATATTCATTTAAAATATTTTAGATATTCAAACATTAATTTCTTTTTAATACCACCATAATTGCTAAGTATTACTTTTGATAACTGCATTTATAAATTCGATTCCTTCATAAGCGTAACCTGTTATATTTTTTAAATTTTAATAAATTTTTATATTAAGAAAATGCTTCTTTTAATTCATACAGATAGTTTATCCGTTTTAGTATGCATAAAAAGTATTCTCTAAATCATTAAATTCTATGTTATGAAAAAGTAAACATGATCGAGATATTCTAACAGTTTTATTAACTACATTGTTATTCATTGACAGAGTTTAGTCATGGAAACAGTTTGTATACAAAAATGTTTTTAATAGAAAGGTTGTTAATTTTTGGGTTATTAAATGATATAAAAGAATATATTAAATGAATCGTAACTATATTTTGCATAAAAAATTTTCATAAAATAAACCAATGATCCTTAATTATGTTACTTGTTAATAATTATATTATCTAAATAATTTGTTTATAATTTAATCTATTACAGGCGCTTGATCGAGATCAATTATATTATTTTATAATCAATAGTACAAAGTTACTATTATTCGTTAATATTTGAAAAATAGTCAGTACAATTACTATAGTTGATTGGTAAAACAAATTTTTGTGTTATTGCAACATGCTGACAGTATTATCATGATGTATTTTATGCCAATAGGTAATGTATTTACTACATGATCGACGTTTCAGTTGTTAGGTTGACACAGAATGCATCGATTACAATGATACTCAACATAAGCATAAGCAACCATTTTGTATTATAAGTATATATTTTCAATGCATTCTGGGCCATGTATAATAATTCAATATATAACTCTCCTAGTCATTAGTGATTAATATTATCTGTTTCTAAATATATTTTTTCAATAAATTAATATGATGCAATTTTACGTGACTAATGTATGCGTGGAAATTTGAATTTGTATTTAATTTGGTACACTCATAGTTTTAGTATACAACTATGTTATAATCTAAAAAATCAGCTAAACATACACTAATGAAATACTTATTTGTAATCATTAAAGTTTTCTCGAAAACGTTTACCCTCGTAATAAACAATTGCTAGTTTAAAAGCTAATTTAAAAGCTTTCATTATGTAGTTCTAAACATGTTTATAATTATATTTAAATACATTTTTTATTGCAACAAATTCGAAGCCGAATTTCAGTTTCATATATTCTATAATAATGGAGAAGTAGGCGACAGTGTAAAATCCTAAAATCCGAGTAAAATAAAATATAATGTGTTGCATAATATATTTTATTTGTTATTAAATAAATTTCCATTTTTATAAAATTTTTCTACACACTTTGGCCGATATATTTAAAATAAAATTAATTTAAAAAACGTATAATTTTGTGATAATTTATTATTATTCAAATTTCATTTCCGATTATTGATAACCAAAATTATTTATAAATAATTTTATTTTTATTAAATAATACCATTTAATATAAACTATCTTTAAAAATTAGAGTAAATATAGAATATTTTTTAGTTAACGGTATTTCATCATAAGCATTGGTATATTTTAGTTAAATTTTTATTTTTCAGAAATTTTAATAAAAATGTTACAGTATAAATCTCTATTCTTTATTAATTTTAAGTTTTTATTGTAAAGTAATAAAAAAACATTTAATGTAAATAATTAACAACTTTCAGAATTTAATGAATCTAAATATGCAATATAAATTATTAAGATTTTAATTAAAATTATTAATATTTAAAAATTTTGAAAAAATTCTGAAATATCAGATAAGTATATCTTAATAATTTTTGAAAAATAAAATAGTAATTAATTATGAAATACATTAAATTTCTTTTAAATAACTTCATATATTCATTAAATATTAATCAAATATTATTTTAGTTTAGACAGTTATATAATACTTAATTATTTATTTAAAAGAACTGTAAAAATTCAATTCAAATGTAGTAAAGATAGAGATTTATTTGCACACTTGTTTTTACGTAGATTTTCGGTTTCATAATTTTTTGAATATCTTCTTAGCATGCATACTTGTAATATAATATATCTAGTTTGTCCTATCGAAAACTTTTTCTCAAAAGAATATAAGAAAATCTCTTGTGCCATTTTAATCAATGTTAAGAATTTCTTTGATGCACACGCATATATATATATATATATATATATATATATATATATGTACGGGCGTGTGTGTCTGAAGTTTCATTTTTAACAAACATAAAATAGATTTTTTTATATAGAGAAGAGAGTATTAGAAACATTATAATCGATTTGTACCAAGCAATTATATATAAATTAAATTTTAGAACCTTTAACAATTAGTGTAATACACAAAAATAAAATAAATGTCTTAAGAATATTATTCCATTATAAGGATAATACCTGTAATTGAATAATTTGTTAGTAAAAGCAAAATAAATTGTACCCTATTAATTCTCAAATATAAATGAATCTAACACTTTCAAAACATAAATAAATTAGTTATAATGTATTCGGAAAGAATAGTGGTATTCTTCTGATATGGTGTATCTTTATTCCTGTGTATCACATCAAGATAGTTTTACTTTGTTGATTCGAAAAACGACGTTGTTTTTGGAGATACATTATCAGTGGCATTTGTGTCAGTTTGTATAAATTTTATATTTTCATAGTCTGATATATTTAAAGTACTTTCCTCAAAATGTTTGTAAATGTCTTTAGATTCAGGTCCTCTAAAAATGTATACAAAATAATTAAGCAATTGTCTAACATCCTAGGGCACATTACAATATGATCCAATATTTTATCAAAATATATTTAACTGTATTTTCAATTCAAATAAGTATTAATTAGCATCTTTCAATGCATTTCTTTTTATTTTGATTTTTAAAATTGTAAACATACTTTTCATATTTCTTATTTATTATGGTACAATTAAAGATATTTACCTTTTTGCAATAATAGTTACATTTGCATTATTGTCAGGTATATTTTCAGAGGTTGTTAAGTCTACATTCGATATGCTACATAAATCGGTGCCATCAATTTCTAATTCATTCTCTTTTTTAACATCGTGTCTATTTTCAGTATAATTTGAATTATTGCCTGTATTATTAACTATTGGGATTTCTAGATAATCTGATTCAATTTTACTAGTAGAATAATCTGAACAATTTACATCAACACTAAATGTACCACTAAAGTCGTCAAAATTAGCCCAACCCGTCTCTTCAACAGGTTTTGGTACTTCTGTATACCAGAGTTTAATTGATGTTCCTGACATAGATAATGGTTTGTTATTAATCCAAGCTAGAATTTAGAAATAAAATTATTTATATGCATGCGTGTATATGTCCGTGTCCGTGTCCGTGTCCGTGTCCGTGTGTGTTTGTGAATAAAATATTTATTTATATATTATTTAGTATAATAGTATATAAAATGAAGTACGAACTATCTAAACTTACGATTTATGACATCATCTTTTTTGCATATATTATCAAAATTTTCTTCATATTCCTCATCTGAAGAACTTGAATTATCATGTTTTCTTTTAACTAACAAGTCAGCTTTATCTATGGGAAGGCCTGTTCCTTGTTTCCAATGAATATTATCCCTAATATCATCAAATTTTTTTTCATCACAAATTTGATTAAATAAATCTTGTTTTTTCTCAAATTCATCAGTTGTAAGATTAAATGATTGGTGGTGAAAGTCATCCGCTGAATTTCTAGAATAAAAAGAAATAAATTACTATTAAAATTAAGTAAATTTATGTTTAATTTTAATGTTTAAAAAATTTAATAATAACTCGAAGGTGTCATCTCTGCTATTAAACTTTTCCATTGGAAAATTGTAATCTTCATCAACATATACTGGTAATGATCGTTCTTGATAATCAGTATTTGACTATAAAAATGCAATTATTTATATTATTTTATTTTTGTAAAAACTAACCTTACACTAATAAAATAGCGTACTAACTTCAACATCATAAAAATCTTGGAAAGGCGTGCATTCATTTGGATTACCATCTGAAGATCCATATCCCTCTGAAGATTCACCCTAAAGTAAAAATATTATTTCACACTCAATTATATATTTAAAAAGAAAATTTTTAATTATTTCAATTTATAAATAAAATTATAATTTTGTGAAAAAACTAACCAGCATAAGCTCTTGTATTTTATTAACTTCATCTAATTTTGTTTTTATAAAATGTTGCCATTGCTTGATGATATCTTCTGATAAATTTGTTCTTAAATAGTTTGATAAAATATTATTTTCTTCACATCTTGTAACAATATTATTTACTAATATAATTAGATGACCCATATAGCCTTGTTTAACTCCATTTTCTTGATTCCTTTAATTTCAATGTATGCTCTAAAGTATATTATACATATTTAAGTAATAAATTATTATAAATTATTACTTACAAAGAATTATGATCATTATTTTCCCAAGCTTTCAGAATTCTATCGATTAATTTACTTTTAATAAATATCTATTAATGATTAATGAAATTTATTAAAATTTACTGCATGTATATGAATATGTGTATATATAGAATTGATGCAATGAAATATGAAACTATTCATAAATTATGCTACTTTATTTTTCTTTTTAAATAATTTTTGTAAGTTAATAATCTCTTTCCGTACATATAATATAAATAACATAATTTATGAATATTTCATGGCTAAATTATATACATAAATATTAATTCAAATTTTTTACATGGAAATAGATAATTTCATTTTTGTCTGGACAATTGCAACTAATGGCTAATGATAAACATTGTTGTACTTGAGTATGTAAAAAATTATTCCAAGAAAATTGAAAAAATAAATCCTGTAATTGCAATGACATTGAAATAATTTAAATATTGAAATTTATTCAAATTTAAAAATTTCAAATTAAATGTATACATACTAATAAAATTTGAAATGTGTTAAATGTTGCAAATTTTTCTAAAATTTTTGGATTCTTTGTAGAGAGAAACTTAACAAACAATTTTAAAATATGTAACCGACAAGGTCCAAAAGGCTTCTCTAAAATTCCTGCTCCTAATTGATGGCTTCTATAAACATAATTTAAATTTACATATTTAAATTTGGTTAGCTATGCATATAAAAATGCATAGATGTTCATATATTGACTAGATATTTACATATACACTGTACCACTTATTCAAATTAGACTACCTTATGTATACAAAGTGTTATTTAAAAAAAAACTTATTTATAAATCATACATATGATTAAACATACTTTTGGTGGATCTAGTAATAATAGATTAAGTTTCTCCAAATAAGGTATAATAATCATTGTAAATTTATCACGTTTTTCATCTTCAACGATATTATTAAAAGGAACTCCATAAGAGTCACTACTTTCTGTTTGTCCTATTAAGTTTATTAATATCTTTATTCCACCAATAATACTACTTTCAATTTTTTCTCCAGATAAAATTGTATCCAATATCAATTTTATTGTCTCCTCTCTAATGTAATTGATATTATAAATTAAAATCTTTTAATAAATAACAAGAAAATTCAAGAAATATCTTACGACTGTATTGTTTGATAAATTGAATATGATCTATTTTCTCCTTCCAAGCGTGAAGATTTAACAATATCACTAAGAAGTTGTGAAGCATTTGCATGTTTTTCTGAATCTGAATTTGGCGATAGTAATTTTATTAATCTTTGAATTAATTGTTGATCATCTAACCACTATATGAAAATAAAATATTATTGATTTTTATTTAAATATTACTTGATAATATAACTTACATTTGATATATTTTGACTTATTTCATGACTTTCAATTTTAGTAACAAGTACTAATATCAAATCCATGATTGCTGAAGTTTGTATATGTTGCAGTAAAAGATCAATCCAATTTTTACGATTTTTAAAAGATTCTAAAACTTGTAAACAAGCAAACTGATATGAAAACCAATTCTAAAATATAATTTCATAAATTACTAATTTTTTCATTATATTAAAACATAGCTTTTTATAATACAAATACTATTAATTGTCTGAAGAGTGTACCTGATATGAAGTTCTTCTTAATAATGTATGAACTGTTTTACTAAAAAATGATGCTAACAATGGATTTAATGGTTGCTCTTTATCAATAAAGGAATATAATTTAGACATTAACATTTCATTACCTAAATATTATGTTAAACATTAAAATATTTTTTAATATTTTATAAGATTGTTATATTTCATTTAAATTACCTGCTAATTTTTCAGTAAGTATAGATACTTCACATGTTAATAATTCACAAGCAATATTAGAATATTTATAACGCCATCGTTCATCTATATCTTGAGAAGGTTCTTCTATTATTAAATTTATTAGTTCTTCTAAAATATCTAATCTTGTCAAACTAAAAAATATTAATATTAAAAAATTTACTTTTAGAATATTTTATTTATAAACTTCACTTACAACTTAAGTAATTTTTTATTTTGAGCTCTACATTCTTGTAAAATATTATCATCATCCATTAACTTTTTTAATGTTATTTCCTAAAACCATATTTTAATTAAATGATAATACAATAATACATTATTATACATAAAATATAAATTAATTATTTAAAAGAAATTTGTGAGTTAATAAAAAAAATTATAGTTCTGCAAGTTTAAAAAAATCTTTTAATTTTATTTATCAAATGAAATATTCACATTTAAAATTTGAATTAAATAAAACACGTTATATGTTAAAGATTTCTTTTAAAAACAAGAAAATAGTATATAACAGAAAGTTTTACCTTTTCATGAAGCATTAAGCTGATCTTTATGGATGGTGAATAATTATTATGCCAAAACATACCAGACATTATAAATATATATATATGTAACTTTCTAAGAAAATCAAGGTGTAGATACTCGAAGAACACTGGAAAATGTTTTATTATATAATTTAATGTAAATCATTACTAATTTTTACAGATTTAATTATATTGAAAATAAAATATTTTAATAACATGTACTTAATTAAACTTCACTTTTCCTTATGCAGAAAGAAAACATACACAAAGAAAACATATTATCTAGATCTAGTATTTTACATATATTCCATGCAAAGTAAAATTGTGAAACTTGGAACTTGAACGAAATTTCTATGCACTAGTTGTGTCTACAATAAATTATATTTATATTTCTTTTATTTAATTTAAATTAACGTAAACGTATCGTAATTTAGTACGAAAATACAGAAAATAAAATAATTAAATAAAATATTTTATCAATACTTACTTAATTAAACTTTACTTTTTTTATGTAAAAAGAAAATATGAAGAAGTGAATGCCGATTCTAGTTCGATTATTTTACATATAGTCCGTGCCATTTATGAATTATGAAACTTGAAACTTGAACGATATGTCTAATTAATAAATGCAACTACAATAAATTATATCATATTTCTTTTATTTAATTTATATTAATATAAATATAATTTAGTATGAAATAAAATAATAAAGTACCGAAAACAAATACCGTAAATAATGTAATAGAATCTTTTCATATAAAAAGCTGTTGCTCACTTTCGATGTATGTAGTTACACGCTCATTAATGCTCAGAACATGCCAAATGAATTTGGTTAGTTATTGGTTTGTTTTTCATAATAAAATTGTCATAAATAAATCATAATAAAATATTGGTTTGTTTTTCATTTAAAAAAACTTTCGACTAATTTTGCTGTAACATTATCTTATAAACTCTATTATCGAAAAATTTGAAAGTATAAACCAATTTATCATATTAAATTTTTCTTTTGTAGTACATTATATTGTTATTTGGGTCTTTTATTTGATACCACATTCTCTTTCAGTTCAAACTAGCTGTTTCTATTATTTCAAAGTGACAATGTTGTCCTGATATAACCTTGAAACACTGAAGCCTTAATGTATGAATGCATTAATCGAATGGTCATTCATCAGGAACTAATAGTATGGAAAAAAATTAAAAATTTAACACTGAACCACTATCATTGATTATATTTTTAATTATAATTCGATAACATAATTGATATTTAAAGCGAAGTGTATAATTCAAACATTGTTAATTAAATTTAATTATCTTTAATTTAAAATATTTTATTTTGCCATGTATTTTTTATAGTACCATCTATTCTATAAATAAATACTGAAGTAACCTACTAAGCTATTATATTAGAATGAATTCTACATTCTTTGGTTTCATACTTTTCTATAATTAAATTTTTATAATTGATTTAATTCTGGTGCTCAATTACCATTCTTTAATATTATACAATGGTAATTTCTAATTTCATTAACTTTTTTTTTATTTTGAATTCAACTGAAAAATATTTAAAATTTTTTTCTTTTCAACTAACTTTTATGAATATATGCAAATTAATGAAGAAATTTTCCAAGTAGAAGTTTTCAATATAAATTTACAATAAATTTCCAAATATATCTATAAAATTATGAATACAGGTTTTATAATGATCATATTACAGCACATTTCTATTTTTTTAAATATCAATTTATTTTAATTCTTGTATATATGTACACTTTCATATTAATAAATTATATATAAATAGTTTAATTCTAGAATATTAACTATAAATATTTAATGGATGATCCATTTTATATACACATATGCATGCATATCAATATGAGAATATGTCAAATATGTTAAATATAATTAAATATATAAAAATATTTGTTTTATATTAAATTTTTGTATAATTTTTTTTTTGTTTAATATTAATAATAATAAATAATACATAATTACTCATTATTATTTACTTATATAGTAAGATTACATTTACTTTATCACAATAAAAATATTCATTTAGTAATATAATAGTTGAATTTTTCCAGATTTTATATTACTACTTGCTGCTCATTTTTAACCTATATTACTACATAGTCTTCTATTTTCATGATTAAAATTTTAACTCTATTAACATATAATGGGTAATCATTATGTAAATTTTAACATGTAATGGGCAATCATAATGAGTATATTATATAGCTGATCATAAATTCAAAAAAATTAGTAAATTTTCTTTCCGAAACAAATAATGATAGATGCATTACTTATATTTCTTCAGGTTTTGAGATTAAATTTTCTTTTTATAATATTTATTTCATACTTTTAATCAGCATGGCATTGTATATTAACTATAGTTTTAGTCGATCCTCTGCTTGTCCTGGATTTTTTTTTAATAGACTGTAGTAATATCAATATTCCTTGATGTGTCATTAGAATCCCTGTAGATTTAATATTTTAAGTGATATGAAAGTGAAGTTAATAATATTACATATTGTATTTGAGTTTGAAATTGAAATGAATAAAAATACTAAAAAAAGTACATTAAAGAGACAATAATAAAAGAGGCTCTTAAGGTTTCATTTATAATCAACAAAATAATAACTAGCAGAAAAAATTTGTATGCATTGATAATAATATTCCAAGAATAGTATAAACAAAGAATAGTGTAAACTGAAAGAAAGCATTCTATTTGATTATATAAACTGTCTAAAACTATTTACATAGATGAAAAAAAGAATAAATATCTTTCATTATACTACTATTATTTACTATTACTTTTATAAAATTAACAGTTATTGCAGAAATACTAAGAATATAAAAATACTCTAATACTAACAAAACGTAATTTTTGAAAGGTAATTGCTCATTTGTACATACATTTTTAATTTTTGTTCAATATCAAAAGTAATTTATAACTATTTATAACTATATAGTATATATAACATATTTTTCAGCCATGATCATAATAAAAGATTAATGTTAGATTATTATGTTATATGTAAATTAATCATTATATAATTAAAATATCTAGCGCAAATTTTAATGAAATTAATTTATAGATTATATATCATTTAATAAAAGAGAAAATTTTTTGCACAATCAAAATAAATACTAAATTATAATAAAACTATACAATTAAAAAAAAGAAAAACCAACAGAATATAACTATTTCAATATTGGTTTGTCAGTAATTATTGACCACTATAGATAATATTTAGAATTTTATTACACCTTCTTAACAATATATTGTACAATAACTTTCTATATATTTTATTTAGAACAAAGAGTAATCTCTTATTTATTAAATGGCATTGTTACCTATATATATCATTTTTAAGATAAAGTATGTTTATATTATGGAAAATTCTAAATAACTAATATTCTTTAATATATAATATATTATAAATGATTGGAATAATATTGCAAAGCTATGTTTGAAATTAAATATTATTCTTGCAAATCTATAATTATGAATAATTAAAACGAAGTTGCTTAATATTAAATAAAATTTTATTTATTTCATTTTTATACATATAAAACATATAACAGAGATTACTATTTTATGTTAATTTTCTTTAATGAATTTATTTTATATGAAACATATGTTACTATATTAAAATATTGATTAGTTAAATTTTATTATTTTAAAACTGAATATAAAACTATGTATCATTATTAGTATGTATTAGTAATAACCAAAAATATTCTGTGTATAATCAAATATTTTCAAATTTTGTATATTTTTATTTAAACAATTAAATATACAACTATGGTAATTTTTATTGATATATAAAAAATATACTTATATTTATAAGTAATCAAAATATACATTATTTTTATTAGAAATTTTATTATTTGTAAATGATATTTTACAAGTTTAAAATAAATTTTCTGATCCATTTTAAAACAATTACAAAGTAGGTTTAATGTAATAATAAGAATATTGTTTTAGAATATTTTCAATATTGGTAAAAAAAATATTTAATTTTCAATAATTTTGCAATTATTAAATTATTAATAGTTATTATCTTAGAACGTGTAGATAAATAAACGATATATAATTTAGTAATAAACTCAGAAATACATATACAATATAATGAATATTTTTTTATTCAAAAACTAAAAAAGATACAGAAAGTATAATACTATGTACTTAAGCAATATATTTTTAGAAAATATTAAAAAACTGCAATGCCTAACATCTAACTATAATTTATACATAAAATTCAATGCATCTTTAAACACCAGAAACTTTCTTAACTGATACTTTATAGCCTTATTTATAAATATTTTTCCACTTTGAATCGTATTGTGAATAATTATTAATACCAACAATATTAATAAATGCAGTACTACAATTTTATACATAAAAATGCAAGTAACCACTTATATTTTTTAATACATTGTATTTATCTGATAAATACAATAAATTTATTTTTCTTATTGACACTTCTTTTAACAATTTAATAAATATATAAGTTTTAATATTAGTGATATTTATTTAAAATACAATATATTCATTAATCTGTTCTTTTTTGATAAATTAACAACAATTCCTAGTAAAATTAATACAATGGTGATAAATTTTGTTACATGAATAACATATTACTCTATTTACTTACGTTTACGTAGTTAGTCCTCGATGCTTACGTTTCATTCGAGCATAAGGGCCAATTTCTGGATCCATCACAAAATCATATAAAACAGATATCCAAGAATTATGATGAGGTAATTTATTATAAAATTCAGCAGCTATTTTTCTAACCTAAAAAATTCATATTTTACAGAATCAAATCATTTTTAAATATATATATGAATTTTTTTTTATTTCATAATATATAATTACTTCCGGAAGTTTAGAACCAGGAATTGCAGGGAAATCATGATGTTCATTGTGATATCCAACATTAAATGTTATGAAATTTAAAGGGCCATAATAACTGTATGTTTCATATCCTTTCTTATACATATAATGCTCAGATATGAAATGTCCTGCAACTGGATGACAACCCATTGCCATAACTGCACCAATTATGAAATACACTAATACTTTGCCACCTGAATAGAATTTAATAATTAAACATATTCTTATATTTGTTTAAATTTTCTATAAAAAATTAATATAATTTACCCAAAAAATACCATACTATAGCATCAAAAAAAAGTTGTATAACTAAATTAATATATTCCAGCATACTTGGAAATTTAGGGTAAGTAATAAGAGGACGAAAAGAATAAAAAAATGGTTGAAGAAGAATCCAGCAAAATTTCCCAAATGTTGTACAAAACAATTTTGCTTCTAGTAATGTGGGTAAATCTGTATCTAATTTTTCATCACCTTGATACTAAAAAGAAACATATATTAATACTTAAAATTAAAAAGAAAATTAATATATTTTCTTTTATTTATAAATCTACTTACTCTATGATGTTCAAGATGATATTTTTTAAAACTTATTGAAATTGGAATGCCAATAGGCAAGTTTGCAAAAAATCCAAAAAACCTATTACTCATTGGTCTTGAATGTCCAAAAGCAAGATTATGAGCAATCTCATGAATAGCTTGAAATAAAAATTACTTTGATTACCAAAAAACTATATATATTATAAACTCAATTAATACAAAGGTTAATAATTATTATTACATAATGAGCTAAAAATTATAAAAAATGAATTTGAATACATTTATAAATTATTGTATTAATGGAATTATTTTTAATTTATAGAAGCATTATGTTTTTCTAAAATTATAATTTTATTTTTTACTTATTTATTCCATAATTCATTTATTATTAAATTTTAATCTACGTGAAATAATCTTTAATTTCTAATTTTAAAGATACATATGTCATGTATGTATGTATATAACATAAAAACAAGTATGATCATCAAATGGTACAATCTGTGATTAATTATATTATTTAAATTATATTCAAATAATTTATACCTAGTTATAATACATTATTCATGATTGAAATATAATTTACCCCAATGTTATTGATAAATTTATATAAAAATAAAATATTTTATATAAATTATACTTTATACTTTATATAATTTAATATTACAAACAAAACAATAAATTCATTACTTCATAATTTAACAATTATTAAAATATAATTTTTATGAATCCAAATTTATATCAACATATATCAATAACAATATTTCAATGAACTATATAAAATTGATAAATTATTAAATAATTTATTCTATGAATTTTTTGAGATGAACAGATATATTTTATGTTTTACTGTCTACGATAATATGGTTGGAATTGGTATCTCCTGAAAATTATTTATGAAATGATCAATTATATAATACTATTGTTAATAGTTATACAATACAATTTTTGTTTATTATACCAACTATATTTGGGGAATTCAGAAATTATTTAATTTCTATGAAGTTAGGAACTTTAACTATGACTATTAATTTAAAAATATATATTGTATTATCATTACATTATTTACTTATTAATTATTAAGATTGTCAATTTAATTATTGATATGATTAATATAATTATATATATACTTAAAAAGTGTTTATAAAAATATTGTTTACAAAAAATTTTATTTGTTTGAAGGTACAACTAAATAATCATTTTATACATCTTTTAAAAATATTAAAATCTTATAAAAAATCAATATACATACCTAGCATAAGAGAATGATTTATAACTCCACCAATACAATAAGCCATCAATAAAAGTAAAGGATAACTTAAATCTTTAACAATAAACATAGATGCAAATTGTATCAAGACCATTGCTGTTACAATCCATTTAAATTTGGGATCATATCCAAACAGTTTTTTTATTTGTGGATATTTTTCTATTAAAATAAATAACATTATTATTCATATGTTTATTTAAACAAAATAAGTTATGAAATTTAATACAATGTATTAAAAGAAAAAAGTACATATTTTTAGTTACTTAAAATAAGTTTTCGTCTAGTTGCATGTGGTTCTTGAATAAATGTCCATTCAAAATCTCTTCTTGAAACATGTTGACCCATATTGAATCAATTTTTACACTATTTTATGCATAGAAACATTTATATTTAACTTAAAGAAAACACCGGGAAAAGAAATCTTACAAATTGAATAACGTGGTTTGTGACCTTCATAATAAAACTAAAAGTTCTTTTTATGAATATTTTAAGAACGAAGCAACACAATGGAAAAATATAACTATAATCTTATTAGTATAGTAATAACTATAGTAATAATTATAGTCTGTTTGGACTATCCTAAGCAACTTAAAACTCCATATTTCTTTACCAAATTTTAATAAACGGAATTTTGTAAAATTAAAATAAGGTTAATCCAAACTAAAATAATTATACAGTGGTTTATTTAAAATTTTATCAAAATGAATACTATTTTAATGATAATCAATAACGAAATCAATTGTATTTATTAAAAAGTAAATATTAATATCTAATGACAAATTTTTCTCTGTGACTAGTTATATTTGGAACTTATTATTTATACTTTTTTGCGCCGTGTATAATTCATTTCCAATCCTAATACTTAATATTATATATTCTATCATTCTTCCATAATGTACTTTATTTTGAATTATATATATGTATATTTATATTTCAGTAAATTTAAATAATTACATTAATAACTTTGTGTATTTTCATTATGTAATTTATAATATTATTAAAATTAAGAATTTCAATACTTTTTATTTACTAAGAAATTTCCTTACTAAGATAGTCCCTGAAAATTATATTACAGGTACAGAAATAGTATATATATAATACATATAGTATAATAAAATAATATAGTACAGATTATTAAATTATTGAAAATAGATTACATATTTTATATTAAATAGATTCATTAGACGTCCTTTTATATGTTAATTAATAACAAGAATAATTATTAAGAATATAAATAGAAAATAGAAATTAAAAATCAAATTTGTATCAATTAGTAAAATACATTACGTTTTTAATTCCAGTTTTTTACTTACACTAGCTTAATTATATATAGGTAGACGTTCCATAAATTTTATTTTTATCTTTTACTATTATATATAATCTTTTTTGTACATATTACTGTTAATGTTTTTATTTCATAAATTGTAGAAAATTAATAATTAATAAGAAGGAATCGTATAAGTAAAGTAATGTATGCAAATTGTTAATCATTTTGTTAAAAGAAAAATATAATATTTTTTTATCATTTATTTATTGTATTTCTGTATTATAAATATTTAAATATTTTTATATCTGTAATTTAAATAATACTGAAATCGAAATGAAGCAACAACCAAATTGTTCTATAATATTAAGTGATAAACTTTTGTAAATGTATTTCTTATAATCATTATTTTTAACTATATAAAATATTTTTAATTCTCTAATCTCAGCTTTCGTATTAATTATTATAAAATTTAAAGTTTAAGATTATAATTTAATTTTTTATTATTAAAATAAACAATTTGCAATTTTTAGAATTTAAACCTTTATTCATTTTTAGTTTTCATAAGTATAATTATAACCTAACTTGAATTTTAAGAGAATTAAAATTCATTAAGTAAGAAATGTAAGTTTTGAAGCTTTCTGTATACTTAGAACAATATTTCAATGAAAAATATATAGATTAAATTAACCTAAAGCAATTCTGTTTTTTTTTCATATATATGTTATTATTTAAAATTTTAAAAAACATTAGCTACACAAATATTAAATGTATTGATAATATTAATAAATATATTAATATTTGTTCGAAATTGAGAGAATCCTTTCCAAGACGTTAAAAATCTGGCAACCCCAAATCGTTACACATCTGGAAAACCTGGAAATAATCGTTACACCAAAAAATTAAAATCTAATGATACACAATCACATCGACTGTTGTCAAATCTAGCTATACTGTCGCTTGAATAGGCAAGCGAGGGTGCTTCAATCAGGGATTCCTCTTGGCGAGTAAGCCATAGAAGACTACTCTCTCTGACTGAAGATCAGCCGCTAGGGGTGCTAGAAGTAGAAAGGCGCTCTAAGTAGTTACAACGAAGCCAGAGACGCTCTGATTGGAAACCCTAAAGAAGCAGGCGTTCATTAAGTGGACGCCATTGTCAGCAGAATGCATTTAAGGAACATGACCATAAGACAAATTTACTCATTAACTAAAACTGACTACTGGGTGGTCGAGGAAGGAAGAACTCTCTCTTACAAGTGACGCCATATAAGACGGTCTGTCTTCACAGAAGTCATGGAAGAGGCGTTCTCTCTTACGAGGGATGCCACAGAGGATGAACGTACTCTCACTCAAGTTGAAGTAGGTAAGGCTCAAGGTAGAGCTTTTCACGGATTCAGTGTCGAGGTACACTGTCTCATACTAGTTTCAACAGTCACCCATTCCTCACCAGAGTTTCTCAAGGATTCAAATATGCAAAGCTTTATACTAAATAGAGACATACTCGTGCCCCAAGCGCACGAAGCAGTCGCAGTATTTCTCACACTACGTGCCACCAAGCACACACACTCTGCAATGATACTAAGAAAAAAGATAAACGTAACAGCTTCATACTAAATAGAGTTTATACAATACAGCCCAAGGGGCACGACACTCTTGCAAGACTTAAAGTATCCAGTGCCAACGCACATTTTTTATACTAAGGGCCACAGCCATCCTATCACTCACCACATTTGACTTTAAGAGTCCAGGGTCAAGAGATTTACGACCTCTTACTTCTCAGTGTAAAAATTTACCACCAAGCACTCTACGTCAAGAGGATCCGGAGATTTATGACTTCCTACATCTGCATTTAATGCAGTCATTACGTAGAAACCGCCACGTAAATCTCAACGATTCTCATTATCAATGTAGAATCATTGTATTATAGTTGTAAAATAAACAAAATAACAAGCACAAGAAGCAGATGTTAAATTTTGAATTAATGCCTACCCCTTCCACTTATCTACACTTTTTCTCTCGTCAAACAACTGCTGGTTTTTAGTCTAATTCTAAGCAATATTAGTATTCTTAAAAAATCTAAAAAGAGGAAATTTTCTCGATTTATTTAAATGTGAGAAATATAAATATATTACTTTTAGTGGCAGAATTACTATATAAAGTTCTTAAGATATCATTTATTATAAAACTGAATATATTATTTTATTCTTAAATTGTTATGCTTTACAATATAGTTTTTTCGACTTTTTTATTTATTTTATTATTAATAACAGCATAGGAGTGTGTAAGAATTAAATTTCAGAAAGCAGGATACCGCATTAAACTTCATGACTTTATACTTGGACGTACTGATTATCTTAACCAGCTCGGTTACTTTTTTTTTCATTATTTTTTTATATTTTAAACGTTTCAGTAATATTTTTCTGCTAGCAAGATAAATTTAAACTTTATTCGATAATGCCCAAAAAATTTGTTGATATAATAATAGAATTATGTATACTCTTTGTATGCAAATTGTTTAGTTTTATTTTTTACTAGTTTGTCTCACTAGAGGGAATAATACAATAAGTAATTTTGAGATTTTTATAAAAATTAATCACTTTAAATTAATTCTTCTTACAGTAAATTTATGTATATTGAGTGACATATAAAATTTTGTTAATGGTAGTAAATAATACTATAAAAAAATTCAAATTCTTAAAAATAAAATTATCGTGCGATAAATTCACTATTAATTCACTATTAATATTACAAAATAGCAAGATTACTAAAAGTAAAGTCAAAGGATTATTATGTTACAAAAATGGACTAAAAAATATCAAATATAAAAGTAAGTCTCACAAATCTATTAAATTACTAATCTGACGAAGAGAAATATAATTAATAGTGTAGATGAAAAATTGATGATACAAAACAACCTGAATACAAATGAATTTAGTATATTAACCAGTTTATCATTAATAGTAAAAACTAAATTAGATTATATTTATTGAAAGTATAATATTTTAATTCATGTAAAAGAAAGAAAAATTACCACCAATATAATGAACTCTGAGATGGAAAATTATTCTATGTGTATAAAAATTAATTCCACTAATCCGGCTCGAAGAATCAAACATATAGAATTAACCAAAAAACCACTAGATGTTGTGTAGGAGAATGCGTGGGCAAGTGGAAGTGTTACTGCGCTAATTAAATAATCAACACATGTATTTCTTATTGTAGTTTATTCCGTTTACTTCCCAATGTAGGGATTATTATTCTTTAGGAGATTATAAATTAACCTTTATTATTCTCAATAATGAATATGGCGTTGCGATATATTTCAATTGATAGGTTATGATCGTTTATTGTACTCTCAACGAACACTACATTTCTTCTTCGTGTCGTGATCTGCACAACTCGGACAGTTCGCGGTCCGTTTTCTGAATGAGCCGTGAAGCGAAGAATCTACACTAGAAGTCTGGACTTACATAAATGACAGTATAACATTTTCAATTTCTCCTCACAGGCTTGATAGGAAGCTTCCATGCACGATTTGCTTGCACTTGAACTTTCCTTTTCTTCTTTTACTGGGATGACGAAAATCTCTGTCCTTGTGCACTTTTGTGACTTTTCGTAAGAATAAGTTGTGACTTTTCTGGTGAGAATAAATTGTGACTTTTCTTGTGAGAATAAGTGTCGGTACAATGCATTGTACTTCGTAAATAGTTCACTGACCAGGTCCCACTAGGGATCCCTTCTTCTTTCCTGTATCCAATCAGAGTTTGACTTTGAAGTCAGGAAAATGAAACTAATGTAAAATGGTAATAATACAAATTTAAACTATTAACATGAAAAAGAGATTATTCTATAATTTATCGAGTTAATAATGACTGTAAAAACACGATAATAATTATAGCATCAGTTTTATAGTTGAAGAAAAAAATTCAATATTAATAAAAAATTTAATATTTAATAAAAATTTTTGTATTTTATATAGATAAAAGATATCAAAGGAAATTATAAATCGGTTCTAACAATAAATGTTTAAATCAGAGCTTAAGTAACCGACAGCATTAAAGATTGTTTTACGAATGTAAGTATTACATACTCAAAATTTTATTTATTCTTTAATAAAGTTTAATTTAGTTTATGCATGTAACGGATTACAGCAGTTTTAAGCGGAATGCAAAGT